TTCCCCTGCGCAATGTGCAGCATCGGCTAAGCCATCCGAATCGAGCTGATCCAACTGCACCTTTTCGGAACCCCACTTGTTCAAAGCAAATCGCCAGAAAGGAACCTCAAGGGAAACAGCCATATCGTTATTGCCGGTCAAAACCAAACAGTTTCAAATGGTAAGATTTGTATTGATTTGTCTACTCTGAATTAGTTAGAACCCCCCCGGCCTGAAACTTGGAAGGTGCACGCAATTGGGGAACCATGTCGGTCATGTACTTTCTGCGCAAAGCCTCCCAAACCCGACCCATGGTTTCCGTTGTTGGCTTGTACCTGCCTGCGAAGGTGGGGTTGTTCTCCTTGGTCTTTGTTTTCTTGGCAGGGGCAGGGGCTGGCTCTGGGATGGTCGCCTTGGCACGGCTTCTCTTACCTGGCTTCTTAACCTCACCAGCCTCATCACCTGGATTTGCCTCAGCTGCCTCAGCCTGTGGCTTCTTGGACTTAGACTTAGCTGTGGCTTTGGCCTTCGCCTTCGCCTTGGTGCTTTTGCTGGTTTTTGGTTGCTTTCCTTTGCCCCTTCCCTTGCCGTTCCTCCCCCTTCCCCGACCCCGCCCCCGGCCTTTGGCTTTCCCTTTTCCTTTCCCTTTCGCCTCTCGAGCCTTGTCATCAAGATCCCTCTTCCTTGCTTGCTGCTGCAGCCGCGTAACTTCAGCCTCAGGGTGGTGATCATCAAGCAAACAACATCCAACGAAACGATAAAAGAACCCTGACTGAAACATTATTTTTTGAAACCCCTAACATGTTTTACAAACCCCTGCCTCCGGTTGATCCAACACATCTGAGTAGCCACCTTCCTGATCCTGCACCGACCCAACCTGCGAAACCTTTCCTGTAGCCTTTGCTTCCTCACCCAATTCCTGTTCCTTCTCACCCTCATTGGGTTTGGGAGTCACCTCGGGGAAGGGTTTGCCCTGTGCGATCTCCATCGCCTCTTCCTGCTTGGGGAACAGTTGCTCCTTCACAGCTATCTGGGATGTGGGGGGGCTGGGCTCTTCCCGGGCAGCAGCGTCAGCAGAAGCAGCAGCAGCCAAGGGAGAAAGTTCCATGGGCACTGTGTCAACCACATTGACGTCGACCGATCCTAACTTGCAAACAGCGATGCTGGACAAACAAGACTTGTGTTTATTTTTTGGGCGGTCAGTGGACCGAGGTTGAATCGAAAGAAAACATGTGGAACCTTGTTTATCCCAAAGTCGTGCCAACGCACCCTTGCTCACAGAAGTGGTTCCATTCGAACAGGCTTGGCGATCTGCAATCATCCGCCTGAATTTCAAATGTTGTTTTTTGAAGCGGCCTTCAAAAAAAATAAATTACTTTGCTTCGAGTGATCCCCACGGTGACCAATTAGTCTGACATGATTTATGGCAGATCTTCTGATATTGTTTCTGGCATCTCTTTTTGGGTCTCTAGATTTCATCAAAGTTATCCTCTCCTCCTCTTCCTCCTCCTCGCTGTTGTATCTGGCGTTCTATCTGACACTTTATTTGGCATATGTTCTGGCATTCTATCTGGCATATCTTCTGACATTCTTTCTGGCATTCTATCTGGCATTCTTTCTGGCATTCTATCTGGCATATCTTCTGACATTCTTTCTGACATTCTATCTGGCATATCTTCTGACATTCTATCTGGCATATCTTCTGACATTCTTTCTGGCATTCTATCTGGCATATCCTTACCCAACCAAGACCCATCGGAATAAAAGTTTGAACTTTTTCCTGTTCTGGGTCCGCGCGCGCGCGCCACTGGGCTAACGAAAGAAAGACCAAAGTGGCGCGCGCGCGCGCGCGCGGACCCACAACCAAAAAAGTTCAAAAGTTGGCCCCTGGTGACTTTAGTATCTTCTGACATTCTTTTGGACATTCTATCTGGCATATCCTCTGACATTCTTTCTGGCATTCTATCTGGCATATCTTCTGACATTCTTTCTGGCATATCCTCTGACATTCTTTCTGGCATTCTTTCTGGCATATCTTCTGACGTTCTATCTGGCATTCTATCTGGCATATCTTCTGACATTCTTTCTGGCATATCTTCTGACATTCTTTCTGGCATTCTATCTGGCACATCTTCTGACATTCTTTCTGGCATTTCCTCTGACATTCTTTTTGGCATTCTATCTGGCATATCTTCTGACATTCTATCTGGCATATCTTCTGACATTCTATCTGACAATCTTTCTGGCATTCTATCTGGCATATCTTCTGACATTCTTTCTGGCAGATAAAGTCCGGCAGTGCCCAGTGCGATCTGGAGCTGGCAGATGAAGTCCGGCAGTGCCCAGTGCGATCTGGACTGCGAGGAGGACGCCGCGGAGGAGAGGAGGAGAGAGAGGAGGAGAGGAGGGCCAGAAGGAGAAGAGCTCTTGTAAAATCTAACAGCCCTCACCTGGCAGGTGGGGAACCAAAACCTGTTTGCCTACTAGAAAATATCAGACTGTGGATTGAGATCTGTTACCTGAGTTCGGCCATGCGCTTTGCACGCCAGTCAGCTCGGTCGGGAATGCTCACGGAACTGGATGGCATGCTAGGCGGCTCAGCTTCCAAGGTCTGAATCACAGGAGGCAAAGGCGAGGGAGGTGATGACTCGGGGTCGCTCTTCATTTTCTTGGGGGTCAACCGTTCAACATGCTCTTGGGGAACACCCAAGGCTTTGGCCAACTCAAGTCTGTCAAAGACAACCTCGTCACTCTCAGAGCTCTCTGGGGATTCAGGCTCCTCGGCCGGGGGTTGGGAATCATCGGTCTCAACGGTCTCTTCCTCACCCTCCTCTGCTGGTGGCCAATAGCCGCGGTACTTGGCAAACAAGGCCTCGATCTCTGGCTCCTGGGAAGGAAGGGACAAGTAGAAAGGGATGAGCAAAGGAGAAGGGAAATGTTGTAGGAAACCGTGGTTGCACGACATTTGGTTTCTAACATTTACAAATACCTATTCCCACCCGGGCTCCCGTCTTCGCTTGGAAGCATGCAACCTGTGAACGATGAAGCTCAAGAGCCCCTTCAGGCCATGAGAGTCACAATGCACAAATGCCGGATTTGGCGGGAGACACAGATCAAGACGCATCTGCTTCACCTGATGGGAACAGCTTTTGCGCCCACAAAGTAGACAAACTAAATCTACGATTAACATTTTTTGGAAGGGGTCCCCATCCCCAAATCTTTTTGACTAAGTGGCCTGCTGCTTCTGAATGGCTACAGGCGTTGTGATGGGGCCAGTCCATTGAGGGCACCAAATGTCACCCAAGATTTTCATCACCTCAATGTTCAAACTCAAAGAGTTCTTGTTGATGACCCCGACCAATGACGGCTTTGGCCAGGCCAACAATGGTTTTCCCTCAAGCAGGCGTGTCCGCAGCTGGGGGCTGTTGCAAACTGCGTCAGCAAATCCCTGAAGCGACATGGGGCGCTGATGCGTTAACACCTTTGTTAACACCTTTTGTACTGGGACACAGTGATGGCTGCAACGGCCAGGCGTTTTGCAATGATGAGCTTCTGAGACTGAGACTTCGGGAATCTGCTGACTTGAGCTGGTATTGACAGAATGATGGGGCAAACAAAATGATAAGATGTGGTTCACTCCTATTGCGAAAAAATAAAATACATAAACATCACCCAATAATGGAAAATACCTCCATAGACATCCTAAGTCAGTAGTGGCTAAATTAAATGTATTTTATTTTTGGGTCTACGTGTCTTTTCATAGGAAAGGGTACCTCGAAATGGATTTTCAACATATCATCCCTGCAAATGCTAACGCACATACCCCATCAAAACTTTGGGATGTCCACAGGAAATCCCAGGGCACCGCTTGTGACATCCATCTCGCTGACGGCACCTGCGCGGGGAGTGATGGATTAGATTTTAAAAGTTTGAACGCTAGAGGCTAGAAGGTGTTGCGAATCCATTTTGCTGAAGTCAAATCGAACTTAGTCAGTGGCTGCCCCTTCGACCTTTTTTTCATATGATGTCCAAAACAGTTGTCAGCTAGCTTCTCTACACCCGGTGATCTTACTACTTTTCAGGAAGCTTCTCACAGTCATCCTGGCCTAAGTAAGCATTTGTATTTTCAACATGGGTTTTGGGACCCAAACCGCTGTGAAATGTAAACAGTTCTGCAGTAAAAAAAGCTGAGAACAAAGCAGCAGAACTGGTAGGCATGTGCCAGTCGATGCACCGCCCCATGCTGCTCATAGTTCTTCAGAACATGCTCGAAAGACTCATCATCAAAATTTTCCTGTTGCGTGAGGCTTTTACTTTGGTCAGGGTAGCTGTGTTGGGATTTGGTGCCATGACTGCAACTAGTGACCAGTCCTGTTTCGTCTCACAATCGGAGAAAAGGAGCTTACGCACTTCGTTCCAGAAAGGCTCTGGCATGTCCGCGAGTCCTCGCGACCCGGGAATGAAAAGGAGGTGGGAATAAGAAGTTGGAAAGCAAGTCAAACCAAATGAAGTTGTAGAACGGCTTGGTCCTGTGACTTTCAGTCGGGCAATCATCTCTTTGCTGCAGTCACGGAGGGCCATCTCAAACTAGACTATGGGAAAATCTGAAGTATTTTGTTTTTGATGTGGAGCCAGGGAGCTGCACATGAGCTGGTGATTGCTGATGCAAAAGAAAATTGCTTCCAACTGCCCACACAAACTCTGCAAGCTGCAGGGTGGGCGCACCAGAGGTTTCAAGTAGGTTTCCCAGAAAAGAAGGCCAGGTTCACTAAAGACATTTCAAGAAATGGCTGCGAAATCCTGTGATATTCCCGAAAACCAAGTTTGGACCACATCGACTCAATTCCGCCCATTCACGTTGAGTTCCGCCTAACGGTCCATTCTGGCCAAATGGCCAAAAAAAAGTGGCACCTTAGAGTTTCCAGGTATACGTGTGTGCGTGTGTGCGCGCCATAAGCTTTTCTTCCGTTGCCCAAGTTTATGACCTATATTGATTTACCTATAGTATATCTACCATACAGGTCGCTGATCGCAGCTTTGGTGCGCTTCGAGCCTTGGGATTTACGATGATCCGATGATCCCACGGAGAGATACAACGTCAAAACCATTGGTTTCTAGAGGTATTTCATATTGGGGGAGGATATTCCATGAAACATTTGTCATACATGGGGGATATTGGGGGATAAGATGCCCATATTTCTTGTTGCAGGGTAATTGCTGTAAGATTATCCATGAACAAGTGGGGTCTTAACAAGAGATATGCATTGCACGAGCGTGGTGATTTCACCAACGGAGATTCAACCAAGGATCGAAATCAAGGATTGAAGATGATTGCTGGTGTCATTGGATTGGTTTAAGGGAACAATTACAGGAACCCCCTTGACATGTTTTCCAGAAGATTTCCCTCAAGCCAATCCAATGAGTTTGGGATTTGATGGGCATGTTTCATTGGAAAATCACAAAAGCCAGCTTTTTGTGGTTTCAAGCTGCGCATGGTGTGGTGGAAATTTCCCCATATCAGCACTGCGAAAGCCCTGTCATGATAGTTAGCAAAGGTAAATATGCCCAAATGGCCGAACTATTTAGGTTAGTGAATTACTGTACTTGATCCAGAATGAGGAACCCTGATAACATGATTTTGTAAAGCCATTCGTTTAAGCTCCATACAGTTGCATGGTTACAAAGTGATTGTTTGGCGGCTCCCTAGTTTTGGTGCAATGCGAATTGAAGGGTAGCTATAGAAACATCTTTTGCGACCTGTTTTGATCTTTTTCGGCGGACAGTTGGTTGAGGCCTGCTGGATTTCTGTGGCTTTCCATTCAACTAAATATGAGTAACACTAGAAGGGTGGATAGCTAAATAGAAAGCTGGAGAGAAAGACACAGTAGAGAGAAAGGGGAAAGAGTATGCGAGAGACAGAGAGGGAGAGAGACAGAGAGAGGAAAAAATAAAAGGCCAGTTGGAAGGGCCGAACAGGGCGATTCACCTTGATCTGGCTTCAGAATTCCTAGTGATGGGCAACGCAAGCACTTGTGGCCTGCGACCAGCTTATCTATTATTTGGTATATAGGATGCATTAGTGGTGCTGGCGCAGTTGGCGGTCAAAAACCAGCAGATCAGTTTGGCAGAAGAAGAATGGCGGTGATCTACCCATTGTTGGAGACTCTGGGATGATGTTTATCACTATGTTTATCAAAACATATCAAGACCATTGATTTTGACATTAATGTAGAATATGATAGGAAAATATGTGTACACACATATATATATATACCCTCTGGTAAACTAACATAGCTATTTAAAATGGCCATCTATAGTGGATTTACCCATTAAAAATAGTGATTTTCCATAGCTATGTTAAATAACCAGAGGGTATATATATATATGATATATAAGTATACTTTTGTCCCCGTAGGGACCATGAATTCAGAAACCAAGGCGCCTCGGTGCATCACTCCCGCGCTTCGGTGGATGCATGGAGCTCAGCAGAGTTTTTGGGGTTGAACCAGGAGTTTGGTGAACCAAAAAGAGAAACATACCAAAAACGATACAAAACCCATAGAAAAACCACCTGAATCATGAATCTCTTAGTCTACTCAGAAGTTATTCTTTTTTTGGCAATGTTTCTGTTTACCATGATCGTTTAATTGTTGGGTTGAACATATTGATGCAAGTCCTATCCCATTTTGGGGACGATGAGGTCACTTCCACGGATCTTCCAGCAGAGGTCAGCCAGCGGCAAGCTGTATGTTTTTGGATTTGTTTGGCATATTCAGCCATTTGCAAACCACATGAAATGCCTATTGTTGAGAAGAGACAACTTTTGGGGGGGTACCTGGGTAAAATGTCATGCGCACTTTAATGATGAGTAGCAGAGGGGGTCATAGCAACAATGCCTTGTATTGTACTGTATGTATACATACATTACTGGCTGAGTGAAACGTAATGGTCGACCCAGGTGGGTATCCACCAACTATATCTCATAGACGGTGGTGAATTTTGAAAATACATCTGTAGTCGCCGACCCATTAGGTGAGATCACTTTCGTACTCTCGTGGTATCAGTGGGTCGTGCTATGACTGGAACAACGCATTTGAATGACGAAGATTCATTGACAGCCTTTGTTTGAACCACATTTGTGCATATTGTCCATATTTCTCTTCCCTTCTAAGTGTTTCCTAAGATTTTTCCATGATTTGACTGGACCTAGCCACTACGTCCCGCGGCTCCCGTCTCAGCTCCCAGGGAAGCAATGCCCGCTAGACTCCTGGGCTGCGACAGGAAGATGGGATATACCATTATGTAATAGATGGACTATAATTATGATTGATTATTATATAGAAAATGCAGGGATTATAAAGTTATCATTGATGATTATTGGTGGTTGTCATCCCATTTTTGATGCTACTGCTATTGTACTTTTTGGAGAGATATATACGATTGTATATACCATTTAACAGGATTCTACCATCATATAGGATTATATGGGATTCTACTATAACTTATAACCATTTATGACCTATAAACTATGATTATATAACGGGATTATAATGCATTGAAACATCGTGTGATGAATGGTGACTAAAGAATAGGGATGATATAGGAAGTATAATCATATTATGACCTATTATAATAGAAGGGGCTATATCATAGGGATCATAATGATTTTATCTCCATGTGATTAATGCGTTATAGTTACTATTATACTGGATGACTCGTATAGGGAATATGTGGTTACGTTATAGCAAGTTTTATCATACCATCTGACAAGATTCTACCATCATATAGGATGATTGAAGGGATTATATGATAACATCACACTGTATATATATATATACATACGTATATATAATCAATGGGGTTATATCATCACCTTATATTAGTGAATAGTCTATTGGATTCTATTGGGTTATACAATCATATCACCATCATATATGGGGATTGTAATGAATGATATTCTCATGGTGGGGATTATACCATAGGGGTTCGAATGATTATATCTTCATGTGGTCAACGGTGATTATACTGGATGATACATGGGGAGTATATGTGATTATTGTGGATTAAATTGGATTGCATAGGATTATATTTTGTACTTGCTATAATTGAGGGGCTTATCTAAGAATGACCGTACGGGATTATATTCAATTATATTGATGATCATAGGTTGGATGCTAACATCCTACATTCCAAAATGACATAATCCTATAGCGTCAAAAGAGGGATCATACAGGATTATGAGATTATAAAGATAGGGTTATATTGGTTTATAATGAATTATGCAGCATGATACTGGTGAAGCCCAACTATAAATTAAGTGGTAAGCCGCCATTATATTTGTGAGTTAAAACATCCATTGACTATACATCCTAGTTAACCGACGTATAAACCAACTCTGCTATCTATGGGGCACCACCTAGCAAGGATGGCAACATATGGGTGATGAATCAGCAATACAGGGCTAAAAATTGGGAGAACATGGGGATAGAAGATGATAGAAGTAGGTTTTAAAAGCAATAATAGTGGAGTTTAATACATTCAACAGTTCAACCATCAAATATAATGATCATAATGATTATTTTTTGGCTGGGGACAATGGGGATAAACCATCAACACTGGGGATTCATGGCTTTACCACCAACGTTCGTTTCGGGTAAGTAACCATGGGTTTGCCAGCATATTGCCAAGCACATTTGCTGCAAGTGATGAACAAGAAGAGAGCCACCTTTTATAGGCCACGAGCAGCTCCTGGTGATTTTATTGATGGTATATTCATACTTATGCCTTGGTGGAGTGACTGTGACCACACCACTTTACTGAGAACAAAGTCCCTCTATTTCTCCCTTTTGCCGGAGCTAATCACTTGTGGAAATTGTATGAAATTGTGATATTTGTGTTGGTGACTGAAACCTCTTTGAAGGGGATGTTTGCAGAGGAATTATCAGGTACCCTGATGAGATGGAAAAAAACAGCTATTTGTGCAATCACCGCTTGCGTCCTGTTCAGATTTCACCAAGGCGGATGATGTGCCCATGGATGGGCCGATAAAGTGAGCGAGGTGTCATGTTTCAAATACTCTTGGGTCTCTGGAGCAATCGAGTTGATGTGGTCAGTGGTTTAAATGCTGGCCTTAGAGCAACTGTCCATGCCACATGGTATCCCACGATCTCCGACAGCCTACCTATGAATTTGGAGTAAGTCAGTATTAAATGTTGAACTACCATGGGCTACACAAACATCACAAACCGTCGAAAATGCTCGTGGCATGTTCTTGAAACCACTGCGCAATGATCTTGCCCAGGACCAACTCAGACACTTTTGAAGCCAGGAAAAGAAGCACAGCATTGGATGTGAAACCCACAGGGTTTGAAGATCTTTGAAGTGCCTTGTCTGATAAACCATGATAAACCTATGATGGCGAGAGATGAAGGGGCGCATTTTAGCCATAGACCCATAGATTGAAGAATCGTATTGTCCCACCACATGGACTTTTTGCAGCGTGTCTAAGGGCAGCCGTGTTTGTGTCGTAGGCGTCCCCTAAAGAAAGGATAAACAAACCAATAAGGGTCAAACATATTCAAACACAGTAGGGAATGGCATATCGTTTATATTTTCCCAGTCAATCAATCAGTCAATGTCCATCAACATCAACCGATATGCATCAACTTTAATCAGTTTCCATCAATATCTATATACTATATCTTTATCCATATCCATATCTATATCTACATGTCAATCTAAATCTATACCTATCGATCCACCAATCTAACTATCTATCCATCCGTCTATCCATCCATCTATCTATATTTCTAATTATATATATAACTATAAATAGAGTTAAATATATAACTATATATCTAACTATATATATATAAATGTCTAACAAACCCACAAGCTATCTACCTATCTACCTATCTACCTATCTACCTATCTACCTATCGATCTGTCTATCTACCTATCTATCTATCTAACTATCCATCCATCCATCTATCTAACTAACGCAGAAAGCTTCAGACGCCTGCCCACGCAGCATTTTGGCTTCGCTGCTCCGGTCGCTTCTCAGCCGCCATGGCGCCCACCGAGCTGCCCAAGCTGGGCCCCGAGTCGCCGGCACGCAATGTGCAGCAGCTGAAGAAGGGGATGAATGCGCCTTGGATGCCTTGGATGCCTGGGGATTATAGTAATGGTAATGGAATAATTACCCTCTGGTTATTTAACATAGCCATGGTATAGATGGCCCATTTATAGCTGGTTTACCTATTAAAAATGGTGATTTTCCATGGCTATGTTAAATTACCAGATGGTAATGGAAATGGTGTCATGAATATTATTCATGGATGATGGTTATTAATATTGATCGATGTTGATTATTAATATTAATTAATGGGATCCTGCATCATGAAAAGGGTAATGGGATCCACCAATGGAGCATAATTGGATTATAATGATATATAAATTAGTGGAATATTACATAGAATGCGAATGGAATATTAAGAAAAAGCAATGGGAAATCTTACGTTTGGATTTTTCGATGAACCAAACAATTTCACGGTGAGCTTTGTACGTAACCAATTATATATAGTTATATAATAACTATACTGACCTCACTGTTGTGTCACCGGAATGATGATTAGTGAGGGGGATCGCCTTATTTGAGGTAGTATCATGTATTTTCACGTTAGTGAGTGGCTACAAATCAGCCAGATATTTAATTCCAAGTTATGGGGATAGCATGAGATGGAATCCATTTACTCACTTCTATTCATCTTCATCTTCATCCAAATTAGGGAAACCATATGTGAGATTTGTGGGGCCATTGTGGGCAGGTTATGGGATGGAACTCCAAGGATATATTTAAATGGTGTGTCACTTTCAGGGGTAGCTAGATAGATAGCAAGATAGCCAGATAGATAGATAGATAGACAGACAGACAGACAGATAGATGTATATGACTGCAAAAGCCGGAGGCCAAGGTAACCCTTGGTGAGTTCGCCATGTTGATGGAAGGTTTACCCAGGAGAAACGGGCAAAACTTACTTTGATGGTGCCAATTTTAAGCTATCACGGGACATGTTTCATCCACCATGGGATGTCTTATCAGCAGCCTGTGTTGCAACTTCACCCCGTGTTGGTTGCACAACTGAAGTTGTTCGTTGCCTGACACGCTGTCTTGTTTTCCGATTGGGAATGGCTTCATTTCGGGCGTATATGCCCTTAAGTCCCTATTGTTGATGGTCGTTGTTGTGGTTGTTGTGGTTGTTGTGGTTGTTGTGGTTGTTGTTGTTGTTGTTGTTGCTGTTGTTGTTGTTGCCGCTGTTGCTGTTGCTGTTGCTGTTGTTGTTGTTGTTGTTGTTGTTGTTGTTGCCGCTGTTGTTGTTGTTGCTGTTGCTGTTGTTGTTGTTGTTGCTGTTTTTTGTTGTTGTTGCTGCCGTTGTTGCTGTTGTTGTTGCTGTTGCTGCTGTTGTCGTCGTTGTTGTTGTCATTGTTGTTGTCGTTGGGGCTGTTGCTGTTGCTGTTGCTGCTGCTGCTGTTGTTGTTGTTGCTGTTGTCGTTGTTCTTGTCGTCGGGGCTGTTGCTGTTGCTGTTGCTGTTGCTGTTGCTGCTGCTGCTGCTGTTGTTGTTGTTGCTGTTGCTGCTGTTGTCGTAGTTGTTGTTTTCGTTGTTGTTGTCGTTGGGGCTGTTGCTGTTGCTGTTGCTGCTGCTGCTGTTGTTGTTGTTGCTGTTGCTGCTGTTGTCGTCGTGGTTGTTGTCGTTGTTGTTGTCGTCGAGGCTGTTGCTGTTGCTGTTGCTGTTGCTGCTGCTGCTGGTTTGTTGTTGGTGTTGTTGTTGTTGTTGTTGGTACTGGTGTTAGTCTTGGTTTTATCGCCCACAAACTCACCTTTGCTCGAGGTCATCGCAGCGTTGCTGCGGAACAAGGCGCAGGCGTCGCCGGCGCGGGCTTCGGCGGCTTCGGCCGCCGCGCCGCTGGAAACGCCGGAGAAGCCGAAGGCACCAAAGAGGAGGGCGGACGCTTGGTGAAAGCCGATGGGACCAATGACCAATGCTTGGAGGATCATTCCACGAATGAAAACAGGAAAATGATCTACAAATGATGTGTTTTCCACATCTATGTTAGTTTACCCCAGGGTAAGTGTGGTTATAACCCACTTATAAATGAAGTAAGCCTAGGAATCGGGGACTTACGTTCACCAGGGTTATGGACCAGTTACTAATTGGGATGAGCCTCCAAGTGGAGATTTTGGATGTGGGATACGAGGTGGGGACCCCTACATAGCCAAGTCAGTTAGTTTATAAGCAGGTGAACTAGAATTTATGGTAAATATATCATAGAGTGTATATATATATATAGAGCAAAATGAGCTACGTACCCAAGCAATGGTCTCCTTGTGTCTCCTTGGAATACTGAATGGGTAGTTTAAAGCTAGCTACCTATGGCATTCTATGGGCATATTGTGAGGGATTTTTGAGGGGCTGAAATCAACTATAACTAGGATTGAATACTAAAGTGGGGACAAAGCAGCAATAACATGGGGTTTCATCAACAGTGGATATCAATGGGAGCTTTGTGAAAAGATTACATGGGGGAGATAAACCAGCAATCATGGGGATCTAACCAATACATGATGGATTGTAACCAATGGGCATTGGCATTTACCATAAATAATTGGGTAAACCCTGGAATATGGGCGATTTAACCAACATTGATGGCAACATAATGGAGATATCTAATAAGTCTGCTGGGTGGTAGTTCAATGCAGCGTATGTTTACCCATATACCAATCAGCTAAGATTGGCTCTCGTTGGTCGAATTTTGCCAGCGCACAATTGGTGCTTTCGTCTAGGCAAAAAATATATTATTTTGATATATTTTGATTTATTTTGGATGTCTTTCTCTTGCCAACAATATTTTTTGAACCATATAATAGTGGGAGATAGTGGGATATAGTGGGTATGTTTGCATATCCTGACCATGGGTGAGAGATGGGGATCATGGGGTGTTGTTTCTTACGTGTTTCTTTTCCGTGTTTGGGTATTGGCCAAGTATAAAACCCACAACAGGGCCTGGTTCACACTGACAACAGATGGCAACAGGGAGTGTCGAACACTCATTTTGGCTGCTCCTATATTATAATATATATAACTTATGTTTATTTATATAAACAGTACGCAGTTTCACAATTTGCAGCCGTATTTTCTTAGATAAACACAATGATAGCTGGGCATCAAGTATGGAAAGATGATGAAACACAATAGTGCACGATACACCTTGGATGCTTCCATTTTATTATTGCGATATATTGCGATTACATACATTATATAAGCCAACAAACTCGAGGGGTCCAGAAATCGACTGGATCCAGAGATGTGCATCCCAATGTGCCCCAGCTGTTAGGGGCCAAGATACCCCGAGTGCCAAGGAGAAACTGAGCCCAGAGCCCAAAAAGTCCCCAAAGAAGCCTGGCAAGGGCAAAGGCGAGACCAAGGACGGGGCTGCAGGCTGCATTGATGAGTTAACTCACAGAGATATAGTTACTTAGTATAATGTATTGTACAACGTGTGTAGATAGATATATATATATATAAATATTAAATAAATAAATATATATATATGCGTATATATATATATGTGTGTATTTATATATATATATTGTGTGTTATATATATATATATTTATTTATTTATGCATTCATTTATTTAACTATACTTTAACTATCATACACACGTGTAGGTATATAAATAGTTTTAGTCATGCATGATCTCTTTTTCTCATGCGTATGTAGATCGAACTTACATATCTGATTTTACATTATATCTTTGCCGTTCCAGATGTGGAAGTCGGGGCCGAGTATTTGGTGTTTTAAGTTTTAACCGCCCTGAAATGGCACATGTTTGGTTCACTCCCCTAGCCCCGAAGGAAGGCAAAGAAGCCACGGCGCGAAACAAGTCGAGTCCAAAGGCGCCCCGAACGCCCAGACCGGAAAAACCGGCCAAGGTGGCCAAGGCCAAAGCGGCCAAAGCGGCCAAAGCGAAGGTGCAGCCAGTGCCCAGCAAGATCACCAAGAAAGCCACTCCGCGATAGTTGAGGATGTGTTGGAATGTGTCGATAAATATAGGGAAAAACACATCTACATCTGGTGACACTGGAACATTTGAAGATGTCTAGCTACTTCATGATGGTTATATATAGAGCATGGAGGTTGAAAGAGAAACACATCAGGTTCCAATCTGAACTCAAAACGGCCCAGCTGAGGCGAAGGCCCCTGAGGTGCGGATTGTGGGGAAAGGAGGAACCAAGGGGAAAGCCCGTGTCTTCGCCCAACTGCAGCAAAACCTGTGCCTGGGCGTTGGGACTTTTTATATGGGTGATGCCGGAATGCCACTGTAAATGATATGCTTTGTAGTGAGAACAGCTCCGAATCACCTCATTTTATGTTGATTTAGTGTGATTAAGCCATTGTGCTAGGGGACTGCCTCATTGGTTGCCAGCCGTGGACCCAAACTGCTGGGCCAAGGAAGGGCATTTCGAAGCCGGATTTGAGGCGGGAACTGCAGCATGAAGGAGGTCACGACGGTCACAACCCCTTCCACACAGCAAGTTGAGCATGTGGTTGTTTGAATTCAGCATTGGTGACACACCACGGATCAACAAGGGAGAATACCACGCAAATCCAATCCATATCTATCTATCTAATCTAATCTAATCCAATCCAATCCAATCTAATCAATCTAATCAATCTATCTATCTATATGCATGTATGGCAAGATCCTTTCAAGTTCACTCAGAACCAGATGGTGATCCCACACTAGGCGTCAGGACGTGGCACTCGGATTACACTAGTCACGTGGCACGTCCAAAAAGCCCCTTGTATTTCTGGGCCTTGCTGCACAGTATTTGATGGTGAAAAAGAAACATATGTTTCTTGGTTGAAATGATTGAATTTCCCTATGTTTCTTGCGTTCCTTGGCGAATTCCACCCTTTTCCGTTGGTGATCAAGTGGTTATCGATACCCCTTTCCCCATCCTTTCTCGCCGAGCACCGAAAGGCGTTTAGCCCGACGTGCGGGTGTTCAGCGGATGTCTGCAGCCATTATGGACGAGATGAGGGAGGCGGCGAGCCAAACTCCAGTGGTTTATCATCATTTTCACTGTTTTCACCATTAGAAATGGTCATTTTGGGGGGCATCATAGTACAAAAACAATGGCATAAAATCATAAGGCAATAATACAGATATATGTATACATGATACATGTATTTTTTGCTTGATTTTCGGGGAACCCCCGTTTATCAGCAGAATGTTGGGACAGAAACTGATCTATCTGAAATCTGCAATCTGATCATCTATCTATCTATCTCTATCTCTATCTATCTATCTATCTATCTATCTATCTATCTATCTATCTATCTATCTATCTATATATGTGTGTGTGTGTAGACTGCCATTATTAGACCGTTGATATCCCAATTTCACTGATGCCTATGATGTTGGAGCCGCAAATGGTTCCAACTCTATCTTCAAAAAAACAAACCAGCAAAATTGAACGGGAGGATGATTTTGGGAGTTGATTTCTGATCAGGCGCCTCAAATCTTTCTCAAGAAGACGCTGTCGGATGTGGTGGTCTATGTGGAGCACGCCAAGCGCAAAACCGAACCTCAGTAAGCACCAGCAAGTGGGGTCACTAGATGTTACTGGTGCCATTTGTAGGATGTTTACTGTGCGTATTGTAATAATCTGTGTAGTGTATATGCTTGAGCCAACAGGCCACAAGTGGTGGAATACAATATCCAGACATCCAAGCTTAGCCAATCTTAGCCATGCAGACAGCAGGTCACTGGAATTTCCACCAGACATATGATGTAGACCTTGGCGATCAGATTCACATTTCTGGTGGACAATTTCTGACGGATTGGTTGTTCAAATTATGTTCTTGTGAGTTCAAATCCAATTTGTTGCTGGTCAAGAAGCCACTTCGGGCTGGTAAAAAACCTTCTGGAGCACCCCCATGCTGCAACAGTGGATAGTGAAGTTAGGAACGGCCCAGCACTGGAACAGTGACAATACTGCCGGCCACTGTTGCAGGATATGACTCTAAAGTTGAATTATGTTGAATCCCATTTCGTGTGGTTGACATCCCATTTGCAGTATCGTGGTGCTTTGATGCCCATTTATAAGCTACATCTAGAATCATAGAGATATATCCATATACATCCGGTTTGTTGCTAGGGAATGCAACTTTTAGTTTTGTTTCATTTCCATTTAAGCCTTTTAATCGGTTTTGAATCAATAAGCCATTCTGGTGAACACCCATTTCTGCAGCCACCCTAAAGGCCATGCCTTATGACGTGGTGCTGAGCTTGCGCCGCATGGGGCGATCCATGTATGGCTACTGAGCGGCTACGATGTCCACGAAGTGACCATCCACACATTTTTTGGGACTCTAGATGATTTCACCAAAATAAACTTGACCATCCATATGGTGGGATTTCACATGTTTTCTGGAATAATGATTCAATACAGAAATGAGGTGCAACCATCCAAAAGTTGGGATTTCAACAGCTGAATGGGGATTTCACCAAGATGGAGGGTTTAACCATCAAAAACGGTGATTTAGCTGATGTGGCTTTATAAAAGGTGGATTTGCCGCATTTCTGGCTACTGAAAATGATGATCAACCATCAAATTTAAGCGTACGCTAGTACCCTATTTTCAAATAGCCAACGGGACCTGATATAACATGATACGCCATGATACCAAACAAACAGATCCATCCTTTCTTCCTTGCAGACTTTAATGCGGAAATCGTGTCAGGACCATCAGTTGTTGTTTTTTCCGTATAAGGACATCAGTGCCTGGAGGAGTGGAGGAGGACCAAATTCGTGCTGTATGTTCCTGCATTTTTGTCCAGCTGTTGCCCGACGGCAAGGGCTGAAAATGGAATGCGGATGACAGTGCTGCCGAGATCGCTTGTCCAGACCTGCCCTGTCCTGGAGTTCAGAAAGTGTCACCAATTGCGATTTCCTGACTGGATGGTGGTTCCAAGGATACCCTCCGTTAAAGAGTTACATGGCTATGGGAAATGGTCCATCTGTAGATGACGGAATTACATATTCAAATTGTGATTTTTCATTCTATGTTAAGCTTACCAGAGGATGTATTCCGTGTCTTGTGTTGATAGTTCACTGGATCAATAATCCGGCCATATTTTTTTAAATATATGCTATAATTGTGCTTGACATTCCATATCATACATTATATATTATGAATGATGTTTACAGTTCACACCACAAACTACTGTGGTTTTACTCCAGTAGCCGTTTTTCTGTTGTTGTTGTTGCGATGACACTGGGTTTGTCGCGATGTCGCCAGTCTGACGTGGCTCCCGAGCTCGTTTTTTTTTGGCAGGTCATTGGGAAGTGTCCTTTTGGAAGGGATTTTCAGGTCTCACCTGAAGTTGATGCGTCTAAGACACCAAAAATATATGACAGAACCTTCAAAAAATACATCAAAATACGGCTTTGGATGTCCCAGTTTGTGGGGATGTTTTGTTTGCAAGTCCTGGTCTTATTGGATTCGACCATCAGACAACAGCAACATGGTGCCATTTCCATTTCAGAGTCGCTGGCCCAATGGGTGTACTGTACATAAAGGGTTTTTCGATAGGGAAATATAGGGAATATTTCCGCGAACTAAGCGTACTACTTATTCATTGTTTGGCATACCATGGTATGTCCAGTGATGACAGGCCCAATGTGTGGATATAAGCATGGTAAACATCACCAAGTTTGGGAAAATGATTGGGTTTACTCATTTAACATGTCACCTGAGCATCCCAACCCCAAGCGCGGCGCTGTTTGCATGACGTTTGGGCCACAGAGCCCTCAGAGTGATGGGCAAGAAGTGGATAGACAAGTGTGGTTGAAGTATTAGTACTTGTGGCGACTTGTGGGTGTTTGTAACCGACAATGCTTAAGACTATGCATGCACACCTATGTATGTGCATTGAGAATTCATTGATGCGGTCTATATAGATGCCCGCATTCATTAATATCATTACTTGAAATGCATCTGGATAAGTGTTCAAAATGTTAGCACTTCAGTTTCAATGTTGAATTAGCCAGGGGATTGAGTGGGTACTGCAAGTGGCCGGTGATGGCTTCCGATGATCGCCATTGATTAGCTGCAAGCATGTCAACAGCAAGCAGAAACAGGAGCGTCCATATCCATATCCACATTCTTCCGTCATCATTCTGTCCATAGAGCCATGATGGCACCGCCGCCTGGCGAAAACAGGATTGAGCAGACCCCCGCAGCGGTTTCCATATTTTGTCCCAGAAATTCGGCTGCCACGGTTAAGGACACTGCAAGTCATTGTTTGATGATGCTGGTTGGAGCTCAACACAATTGAAGCTACGGGGATCATGTCTCAGTTTCATGTTCATATTCGCCTCACATCGCCATTGTCATTATCATACCATCATGTGTTATAGTCATACATCAGGCACACAGAATCATCAACACTGCTTCTCATAGCATCACATCATCATGCGTTCGTTGGATCATTTCTGGATACCCCACAACGTGATCCCAATGGATTGACATCAAACCATTTTTGTTACGTATGTTTTGCCCTCAAATCTCGGAATTTCCTGTGAAAAAAAAAAAAACATCCGATTCGCTGAGCGCCATGTGGCACGGCTGCGTGGAAGCACCGAGTTGCTCTTCAGAAGTGGCATGTGGATCCACCAGTCAAGGCGAGCAGTTCGATGGGGTAAAATGTCTTGAGAGATAGTGGGTCCGATGGGAAATTTCACCAACTTGAGGATCTAAATAATCTAAAGCAACAACAATAATAGTTGATGGTTTCAATCATGTTTTTCCCATCGTGCCTGGGATGATGATCCCAAGTAGTTAGCCTATATGGACTTTCCCGCAGGTATACGGGGTCCTCACGGCAAATGGGAGAATTGGAACGACAAGGATGAGGAATTTAACCAACCGAAAGTAGTTTTTAGGCCGCAGAATGGGTCTATCAGTCTATCACTAGCGGGTGAGAAAACACGCACTTTCCTGCTATCATTGATTTGAGCCATTGTGATTGAAGAAGAGGACCTTGTAGGACCAATAGAATAGTTTTGTGGGAGTGTCTCAAAATTGGCTCTGCGAAGGTCTTGAATCTTTGTATTGTCAACTTCGAAATGCTCAAACCCCGGAGGGTGTTGCTGTCAGCAGGAGTGGTGCAGAGCCTCTTTGAAGATGAACTTGAAAGGCGGGAAGCCCCACGGGTGAGAAGAGGTTGAACGGGTCAAGATAGCTACATAGGTTTATGCAAGGGAGAAGACCACCTTTGGCTTTAGGAGTATTATATATCAGAGCAATTGATTGAGATTGATTGAGATTGGCATGTTTGAATCTGAAAGTCTCATACGGGGACAAGTTATTAAAACTACGTACAACAACAAAAAAACATATATATATATATATAGATACAAGCTCAAGACCAACCGCAAAATTTTCTGGTTTGGGATTCCCTCAATGCACTGGACATTGCTGCCAGAGGTATATTCCAGTGGAGGTCCGGCGGAGCCGACCAAATGCTGCCATTGGACAACCACCAGCAGATCAGATGGTGACTGGGGATGGGCCGCACCAGATGTGAACCTCGAAGGGAAAGACTGGAAGAAGTGGGGAAGCCATGCCAAAGTGTGGGACAGGTGCCTTTTTTTTTCGTGCATTTATTGTAGATTTATAGATATTTATAGCTTCTGGAGATCTGCAATGATGTGTTTCTATGTTTTTCGTATGTGATAGGAATGCAACAGATGAACGCCCAGTGGGTCTATAGAATTAAAAAAGGGAATGTGCCTCCCCCACAGCAGGTGAGGCAAGTGGTGCACAAGGACCTTCGGGGGGTTGTGATGGGCTGTGCGCTGTCATGAGGCAAATACCAGGTAAAAACCACATCCAAAAACACATCGACTTTTGAAAAGTCAAATCATTTTCTTGACTAATTTCCCCAAACAATCACCCGGAGGCGCATGAGGGACCTAAAATGAACAGATCCAGTGTATTCCACATCATTCCACACTTGTTTTCTGATGGGGTTCTCTTTTGTTTGGGAGAAGTTATTGCTGTAAGAAGTTTGTTGCATCTGCAACCACTGGATCAGAAGATTGGTGGTCTTGGTGGTCAAAATGATCACCCCCAATGGCTGGTGCAATACGAGCCAACTACCAATGGGCCATTGATCCTAACGGTCCTATCTTGGCCGCCTTGGCGATAGGAAACAGGCCCTGGAGTGATGGAGATCTGCCCCAGTGATCCTTCGCCTGGTCCTAAGGGCGGAGCTGCTGTCACCAGCTGGTGATTTGGGGGAAACCATCCCCAAGTTTCGTTGAAATTCTACTTCAACCATCCAGGATTTGCAGCCGTAGCATCTGTATGAGTGCTATATATTTTCCATCCCAAGGTCCTTGGGCTGACTAGGTGACTCAGATCTTTTGGGGCTGAGATCAATCTCAGAGGTTTTCCACTGGATTCTGACAGTGAAACAGTTGCTGAATATACCATGGCTTCTGGCTGTTAGATCCACATGTTTGGGTGGTGAACTGGGTGAAATCCGCAATTGTTTCTGACCGCTGAATTCCGTTTATTTCGGGGTGCCACACCGCAATCAGGGTCGGAAATACACCTAAATTCACCCATTGTCTGAACTGCTTCGGCTGTTTGTTTGGTGAACTCACGATTCTTGTATCCATTTGTGTTGCTTCTTCAATCAGTAAGTTTGTTTATTTGTTTCATTTAGGTTCAACTAATCACTCAACAAAGCATTTGGTTCTGAAAAAATGCTAAATCCACATGTTGATGCTGGTTCAACCAGATCCGAGGCTCTTGAAGCAGATCCTGGTGAAAGGTGACCCAGACGCACCACTCATCCAGCATGGTGCGACCCTGCGAGCCAGGCTCAAGGGATTTTCCATTGCCATGTTTGCCGGAGGGTATTGGGGATTGTCTGGAGTAATATGAATATGTTGATTACAATCCAGAGTTTGTAGTCCGGTTTTTTCCTCCGGAACCCCGGAACCGGATTATAGTAAACCTTGTTTATTCCATTTTATTCCTATAATTACTGGATTGTAAACAACATACTGCTGGAGTATAATCAAGTACTACTACTGGAACTTTACCTGGTCGTACTAGCTGGTCAGATATCCATAATAGGTAGCCTAGCTAGATCTAGCTAGTCATCCTGCAGTTTCCCGTATGAAGGTTTCCTAAGTCATGGGGGTAACCGGTAACCCCATCCGAGTCATCATTAGACCATGACTAAGGATTGAAACCTATGGTGACTTGGGGATCCCCTATGACTTAAGAACCCATTCACATCCCTATTCTATGCCCTTAAAATCAATGAAAAATCCCTATATTGATGCTGAAAAAATCCTGTTCCATGCCATATTTTGTTGCTGTAAACATCTATGTCTAATGGGAAAGCCAGCCACTAGCCATGAATGAAGGGCCATGGCTTCACCAGGATCACCGCCGCCAGCAGCAACCAGTTCAAGTCACTGGAGCAGCGCTTGCTGCATGGCCCAAAGGAGCACCTGGACTGCCTTTTTCGGGCCCATCTCGGGGCACGGGGCAGGTGAAGATGCTGGGTGAAGAAAATGTAGCGAAATCGCCGAATGCGAAGCTTCAACATGGGTTAAACATGGTTAAACTATGTGTTTTGTTCTGTGAAACTGCGGAATGGAACCAATTTGGTGAAGTTTCAGTCAACGGCTTTTTTGCAGCTAAACAGTGTGACCATAGCTGCGCTAGTTCACCCAAAACGGTCCTACCAGTTGGCAGCACGGTCAAATGATGTCCAGTCACAGCCGGCTCATAGTCAATATATTGAATATACATCGTTATACCAGTTACTGCACTGTATACCTAGAACCTCAAACAAGGCACTTTTAGCAGAAAGTAGCCTTTACCAGTACTACGGTATAATTTGTTTGGCGACAAGCATTTCTCTGTTTTTCCAATGGCATTTTTGGAATTCAATTTAGTTTTTTTTGGGGGTTGGGGGGGTTGACATCCCATTGGCCAAAGATTGTGGTGTTTTTTTCTCCACGTCATCATTTTGGTCAATCGTAATTCAAGTCAATTAAAGTGGTTTGGCCAAACCGGTGACAGCCTGCTGTTGCAGAAAGGTTGTTAGCAGTCCATGATGCTTGTCATTCAGAATCCAAAAAGGAATTTTCAAGGACAACCATGCAAAATTACTTTCTTCGAGTGATCCCCACCCTGAAACACTATTCTACTGGTAACATAGGGTTTGACATACCATCTGGAAGTATATATGGCATATTTATGCTGACATTCTATTTGACATTCCTTTCTATCATATACTTTGACATTCTATCTGACATTATCTGACATTCTATCTGGCATCTATTCTCACATACTTTCAGGACATATGTTCTGACATTCTTGCTGGCATTCTATTTGGCATCTGACATTCTCTCTGGCGCCTGGCTGAGGTTCGGGAGTGCCCACTGAGATCTGGAGCTCACGGTTGAGACCCTCACCTGGCAGGTGGAAAAAATCATGCCAGAGAGTAATTGCAGTAAAATCCGAACTGGGTGGCTTGGATCCTCATTGCAACTGGCGCTCGGCCTGGGCAAAACGTTATGTTTGCATGTTTTTGCTTCTTGAATCCCGGCTTTGGATGTTTGAAGCTCTATTTGTGATGGTCTATCTCTGGTTGAATCCAATATTTTCTTTGTCCACTACCCAATAGTTTGGTTAAATTTGCAGCTTCAGACCCCAATATTTCTTAAGCTTTAGTCCTGATTCTCCGCTTGGACCCCCTGTGCTACACTTGGATGTGCATCTTAGTTAGGATCCATGGGTAACAACATGTACCCTCTGGTAAACTAACATAGCTATGGAAAATCACTATTTTTAATGGGTAAATCCACTATTTCTATGGCCATGTTCAATAGCTATGTTAGTTTACCAGAGGGTAACATCATCATTAATCACCATTAATCACCATTAAATCACAATTTTCCTATGGTTTTCCTATGGTTTTCTAACCCAGGAGAACTATCTGTAGGATACACCGTGAGGTCCCCCAGTTCCATCTGGCCACGGCGAGGCACACGTGGCAAGCCGGCTCAGGCGTCAGGTGTCAACTCATCGAGCTCATGGTAACTTCCATGAGGTCATCAGGGAAATCCATGGGAACCGAAATGGAATGAGTTACCCTCTGGTAATTTAACATAACTATGGAAAATCACCATTGTTCATGGGAAATTTCACTATAAATGGTGATTTTCCATAGTTATGTTAAATTACCAGAGGGTAATCTTAATATATTGGTGGAATGTTGGTTTAATATGGTTTAACCATCCCATGAAATACTAGTTTATTACTAGCTATCCCCATTATGGATCATTGTTGTGGCCCTTTGAGAATCTAACAGTTTGCCATGGAAGCCATGGCCCAAGACCGAGGTCATCTTGTCACTGGCCGGTTGATACTGGGGTAACCTCCATGGTCCCCTCAATAGCCCCATTGTTTCTTAGAATCCCGAACATCACTTGGTACCCCCAAAAAGGATTAACAAAATACCAAACAGCATTCTTCTTCTTTTCTTTCATGGATGTTGTTTTTCTTTGATATCGTTGTTGGGGATAGCTATTAAACTATCCAGCCGTTTAGTAGAGAGCTAAGGAGCCATGTGCGTCCATATTCCCTATGAAATGGGGGGCCAAGGAGCTTTTAAAAGTGTCCAAACCACGTCATAGTTAAAAACATCTAGAAACCATCAAGTCGCACCAGACATAGTGACGCTCGGAGGTTGGGCGAGACCTCTGTCGGCCGCAGCAGCGATGCTGCGCTCTTCACGGATGAGGGGCTCAGCGTCGCCGCAGAGCACCAAGAGGTCGGTGCCAGTAGAACCAATGGGACAAGCGGTGGCATTATGAAACTAGTGCATACTTGATACATATGTGCTGTATGGTTATGAGTCTAAAACCCTGACACCCTAGGTACCCTAAAATAACTGGCTAATGGATGGGTATTCCCCGAAATGTGGTTACTGTATGCAATATATATATATATATGTACACTGTATAGGTATATTCTGACATATGTGTGTCTACCGCACATGAGCCACCATTGGTTCCTGGAAAGGCACGACAGCTTTTTGAAACTGCCAACATCAGTGGCTACGTGATGCTACGTGTGTCTATCATATCATATCTATATTGCATGTCTATAATGTATGCGATGATGTGTGTGTTTGCAAGTGTATGTGTATGTGATGTATGTGTATGTGTATTGTTGTTTGTGCATCAGTGTTTCTACAGACGCATCAATCTCGTGCAATTAGATGATGCATGTCACTACAGACGGTACATGTTATGAAATAACCAATGGATACACTACCCACACGAATGCTTCTTCTTGCAGGGGCATGGGCCGGCATGGGACAAGGAAAGGAACCAAGTTCCTATCACTGGGGAACCCCCCCCCCCAAAAAAAAAAACATACGACTTCCCAAAGAGGAAATTCAAGCTTTCATGACATCTTCAATTATTTACGGTGAAGTACCTGTGAGGTCATTAATACTCCCAGCCATGAGGGGTCAGCACTGGCTTCCTGCCTTTCGGCCATGATAAACTGGATGGATAGTGGTTTCAGGATCTGTCAGGAATCTGGGATTTGCTCATCAAGGTATATCAAGTTCATTTTTATTTTCCACAGGGTGGTGCCCCCTGCTTATGTTTCTTGGTTTGCTACCACTCTAAGTATAGAATTATCATGTCCGTTAGGATTGATAAAACCCTCACTATTAGTAAATAACCCTGCTTCCCCCGAATTTTGGGGTTTTCCCCCCAATAGTCGTGCGACCCCGTCAATTAGCAAATAATAGTATAAATACCCGCCCTACTTTAGTATTATTCCCCTCTACTGTCTAGTACTTCTACTTTTTATTGGGACAATTTTCAGTGTTCCCTTCGTTTCTTATCATTTTTGTGTTTCTTTCTCATGTTCACTCACCCTGCTGATTCCACTGCTGATGCTGCTCTTCCACCAGAATTTGACACCTCGTTGGTGCAAAAAAAATGCACGCACCTCCAGCAACATTGATTCCCATCATTGGTCTTGTTTTTTTAAAATTCTGGGTGTTTTCCTATGTTTTCCATCCCTCCAAGACCCTTGATGGTTAAATCATGTTAAATCGATTAAGACCAACATTCCCATCAACCCTTCAATCCCTCCAAGTTGATCTTGCTGTAAATTATAACGACCTCACTGCGACCTCACTGGAATCATGGTTAATAAGGGAAATCATCCGCACATGGCCTTAATTCAGGTTAGTGAATTATTATAATTTACCCAGAATCTTGATCGCCGGCACGGCAGGTGGAGTTTTCCATCAGCATCTTAGAGGTCCATCCACTCGGCCGGAGTGTGCTGCGATGGGCCGAGGAGCAGAGCCTGCCCTGATTTTGGCCCCGCAAAAATGGAGGATTGAGCCATCTCAAATGGAGATTTCTCAATCATGGGCTACAGAATGATTTATACCATTTATATCTGGTGATTTTTGATATTTGGTTCTTGTTTTCAATATATTTTTTTTGATATGTGTTTGGTCTCCTTCAACCAGCGGAAATGGGAGAACGACCCCTAATGACTACCGACCGTATGTTTTCCAGATGGGTTGAAACTACTAATAAGTACTGGTATTCTTTCTTAGTAGTGATCTAATGTGATTTATATGGTCATGATATTCGCATCTATCCACTTATATATATATATAAACATATAATTATATATAAAATAAGTAAGTAGATAGAGAAGTAAGTAAATAGTGTGTGTGTGTGTTTGCGTGCAATCCAGTTAAATATGCTGAATTTGCTGAGAGTATCTGAGAGTTAGCTGTGAACATCAATCAGCTTCACGCCCTCCGGGCCCTCCGAGGAAGGCGTTGGCAGCCCAGGTGCTGAAAGAAGGACAGCTGCACTTGGCGCTGTGCAAGCACCCCTTGGCGGTTGAAAGCGACGTCGTTGTTGTTTTGGTGTTCCCTCTGAGGTTGTGATAGGAAGGATAGCGGACGGGTGAGCAGCGCTATGTTGTCTTGTTTCAGTGAAAGACCCGGTCAGAACTTCGCCAAATTGGGAATGGATCAAAGGCTGCTACTATACCCCGTATTTTTGGATATATGTGTGCGAATGAACATGAATGAACATCCATTTGCAAGCTGTTTGGGGGCGCAGGGGGATCCATTGGTTTTGACCCATACCTATATCACAAGTTAATGACGATTTTTTGATTAGTATCCATCCCACATGTTCAATAGATATATATTATATTATAATATAATATAATTTAATATAGTAATTATAACATAACATAATATGATAATATATATATATATGTATATATTTTTGTTTGTTATATATATATATTATATACGTAAATTATACAACATGTGACATGTATATAACGTATACTTGTACATGTATAGTATAATATAATGTTTATAGTTATGTATAATCAAACATTATATAGCTATACGTTTTTACCCAATTCTGTTCACCCCATTGGCCAATCTTCGCTCCATTTAGGTACTTGATGCTTTGCCGTGAGCTCGACACCTTGGAAGGCGCTGCTTTGCGTATCTGGCGCCGTTCGAATCCGTTGGAGCCGTGGTCATTCGTTGGATCGGAGGGTGATCTACTTGCCATGCTCCGGACGTTAGGTGCTGATCTTTCAGATCGATCAACGAAGTGTTCCCTGATGAAAACCTGTAGGCGCAACGTCAGGGTGAGGCCAGGAATTGGATTGGTGTAACGCTCCCCAAATCGCCGACGTTGTTTCAGGTTAGTGACGGTAGTAGTGAATTGCTATTTGATGTTTATTCAGATATATGATCCGTTCTAGACCTCAATTTTCATGATGAGAGTTTGATGGATTTCTTTTGGGAAAACCATGTCTTTGATGGCTTCGGGTTCAGATTCTCCAGAAGTATTGCGGTACATCCTTTCGCAAACTGCATGCAGTTCACAGATCAAAATAGCACAAAAAGTGGTTGTAACATGTTGTAACTATTGTTATATTAATATAGTTACAATATATATTAATATTGTTAAATAGTAAACTATAGTAACATGTTAAACAACCGTAGTCTGAACATCTTGGAGCTTAACATGTTGGGAACATCTTGGACCCGCGTTGCATACCGTCCGCCAGGTTGAATGCAGCAGTGTGTTTCTCACGGCTCAGCCGGTGGTGCCGCGGATCGGCCATGGGAGGGCCATGGGAGGGCCCAGTGGGGAGGGCCCAGTGGCCCAAGCGAAAAAACACCACTGGGGAATGTTTTTTGTGTGGTAAATGATGGTTATTTATGCGAAAAACATCGACAAATACGTTTTTAAGAACAAAAACCGCGTCGAAATTTGTGGGAAACTCCGCTGCTTGAACGGATCTGAGTTTTGTGAATCTTCCAGTTACATCCATTTACAGTATTTGCAGTGACCAGAGCATCACAGTCTTTCTAGTGACATTGAGTGGCGCAGAACCTTGCACCATGAGGCAACAGGTTTGCGAGAGCTGCGCGCAAGTGCTGTCGGAAGATGCTGGAAGTGTGAAGGCTTTGTATCTGCGCCCTGGCTGTTGGATGTCGCTGGAGGGAAATCAACGCAGGAAATCGTAGGTTTGACGATCCAAATGTATCCATTGTACCTGAAGTTTTTGATGTGCCAATTTCAAAAGTGTATTCAAATATGATCAAATATGGTGGTTCCATGTGTTTTCTGTATAATCACCTGGATCTTCAAACGCTCAAAATAAATTGTCTGTTTAGGCTGTTGCCTAGTTTTCAATAGGGTCGCTCATTAAAAAATTGCCTTTGACCCAAAACGACCACTATTCATGTTTTCATTGGTGTTTAGTTTAGTTAGAAACACATGTAATATATTGTAATCATCAAAGATACGGCTGACTACTCGAGAAGATCCTCAAGACTGCATCATTAATCTGGGGTAATGGAAAATTTGATCTCAGCCATGCAAACAAAAATGAACAATTAGAGAGTTGTTGCCGCCCAAGTGTTGATTTTGGTGCACAAGGCATCAAAACCATGAAACAATCACGCCCAGTTTTTCGATCAAAACGGACTCAAAATCCATCAAACGGACTCAAAATTCACCAAACGAACTCAAATTCCAAAAAGTGTATGTTTGTGATTTTCACATATTTTTAGTCTATGGGCAAAATGGGGTGAAAGCTCCAAGATTGATGAGGAATGTTGTAAAACATGCAAGATGCAGCGGCTTAACCGCTACTTATAAATTGAAGCATTATACCAATAATATAATTGCATATAATTGCTATGTTGGGGTGATTTTGATTTGATGGATGTGCGATCGGGAAACGCACAGATTTTCACCAAAACGCTCGTATCGGTCAATTTTGATCCAAACGCACCAAAAAGTGAGCAAATACAAACGCTCAAAATAAAACAGGATTTTGAAGCTCCAGGTATATATATATAATTATGCGTATTCCCCTCATTTCCCTTCCAATGTTCTTCAGCACTGATCGCCATCGAGATTTTCAAGACTGTCATTCTTCAACTTCCATGTAATGTGACAGGTTTTGGCCATACTTTGATATATATATATATATAACATATATTATATTACTGGTATTTATTATTTGTTATGTTATATATTATAAATTGTCTTGTATATGTATATATATGTATATAGCCTGGTCTACCCAAAAAATCCAAAAAGATGGAAGCCGGAAATGGCCTCCCCATTGTTCGCCACCAAGGAGGGGCCAGGCTTATCTCCAGCAGCCTGGCCACATCATGGTTTAGTGGGGATGAAGTCACATATTTGGGTGGGATTCCCAACTATAGCTGATTATATTACATAGTTGATTACTATGTAGGCCAATATCCGTTAATATCCATTAAAATCCAGTAGAATCGATTAAAATCCATTGATATTTATTAACATCAATTTTCATCCCCTATATATCCAAATATGGCAACCTTTAACAACTCAGCCCCTCCAAGCAGCCCGACATTCACTGTGCTTCGTTCACATTTCAGAGACAAGTTCATGGCCTGAACTCACATGGCTAGGGCTCTGTATAACTTAACAAGTCCATAAATAGATCGACATTCTTTCATACCCTGCATATACATGGATATACAATTTGATACATATATATATGTTCTAAATGTACCTGTGCAATCCTGTGCATGTTTACAATATTTCAAACACCATATGTATACTTTTTTTTTTTATACATATATGCTATGATATCATATATATATATACATAGATGTGTGCATCAATATTCATCATGATTTATGAACGATGACACCAAGGCTCAGGGAGCTGAGCGCCGCGGAGCAGGATCTGCAAAGAGCCACCATGCTGGATCCGCAGAACTCGGCGGCGAGGCAAAAGTTGGAGCGTCTTGGCGCGACAGCGGAAAACCATGGGAAAACCATGGGAGAACTATGGGAAAACCATGGGAAAACCATGGGAAAACCATGGGAAAACCATGGGACAATGGGGATTTAACCAAGAAAATTTCAGATAGTTCATGGGATTTAGAGTTGATTTATGATTTAATGGGATATAATGACATAAGATTTACCATCTGGTTATTTAAAGTAGCTGTGGAAAATCATCATTTGTAATTGGCAAATCGTCATATTAATAAATCGTCTTGAAATGGTGATGCCCCCCTAGATAGCTGAGTTGGTTTATATCTCCAATAACCACAATTTTTTGTTCCTTTCCGGGGTGCTATAATTGTTTGAATTACACTTAGTGGGTTTATAAGACAACTTATATAATTATATAATTGGGGAGACCTGGTATGAAAATGGCCCATGTATAGACACAGCTATGGAAAATGACCCCATGTATAGGACATTCCCTTTCACCCTCCGGTAATTTTGACACGGCTATAGAAAATTTCTTATTTTTAGATGATTTACGTGTAAACAAATGGTGATTTTCCATAGCTATGTTAAATTACCATGATGGTAGTAGTTTGCTAATATTTCCATCCCCCAACAAATGGTGTTTAATGGTGATAAACACCAGAATTTGGATACAATTGGTAATTAAGCAAGTGGGATACGCTTGGGATTGACAGGTGGCATGGGAATTGAATGGTGGATCACCAAGAAACATTGCGATTGAACATGATTTAAACCGTCTGAATGGGGATAGAATAGCCGTATGGGCCTGTGACCTGACAATGGTGTACGCCCCCCAAACGGTACTTTTAGTAGGGAAAATGATGATTGACCAATGGATTTAGACAAACCTTTCCATCCAACACACAGGATGCTGAGCCCAAATGAAGAGCAAGATTCTCAGTTGCTTGAAACCACCAAGTAGTTTGCAATTGGGCAACATAGTATAACAGTATAACAGTATACCTCCATTATGTGGAATATCCCAGTTTCTAATGGGTTATGTGTTATTTGTTCTACACGGGTTGTGAACCATTTGCTACTTGGGATGCACTTCGAAGTAGGGAAACTCCGGAAACTTGGAAGTTGAGCCATTTGGGCATGGATCATGACGAAAGTCTGATGATATTGCGACTAACGGGATGCATTTCCCTATGCAGATGCAGACATGTGCACAGGATCATCATCCTACGCAATCATACTACAACATCTACAACAATATGTTGAGTCCCATGTCATCTCTACCTTTTCTTCATGTCCAATCGGGCAGACCCAATGTTCGGGGAGCCAATATGGTCTCACCAGTCTCACCATGTCCGAGGTCTTGCCGAAAGATGCAGATGAAAGCGGCTGTCCCCCGGCAGCTTCATGCAGCTTCAAGGAGACAAATTTCAGAAATGGGATTTCGCTTTATTTGTGGCTTGAAACTGCCAAACTGGTTTGCCATGATTCATGCATATTTTGCATCAAACATGTTTGCCATGGTTTACCCTCTGGTAATTTAACATAGCTATGGAAAATCACCATTTTTAATGGAAAAAATCCAGTATAAATGGAAATTTTCAATAGCTATGTTAGTTTACCAGAGGGTACCGTACCTATCTCTATCCCCCCGAAATTTGGCTGAGGAACGAGCCGCTTTCCGGCGCCGGCAAGGTGGCAGGGACGCATCGGAGAAATGGGCCTAGGCAGACCAGGCGTGTCCTGAGGAAAATGGCTCGAGCGGCTGGTGACAGGTGAGGGACCATACCAGAAATTTACGCGGTAGCCATAGAAAATCGAAGAACAAAAATCATCAAAAATCCCATAGTTGCTTAAATAGTGACTACAGTGGTAAATTGCATAGTTGTTTTTTGTTCATTGCGCAGGGGGTTCAACAACATTTGAGAAAGGCAACGTGCCAGCAAACTGGTAGGGTTGGAGCATTTGTTCTTACTCAGGGGCGGCTCCGAAATGAACTGAACGGGATGGCCTAAAAATACCAGTGCAGTTGCCATGATTCAATCAAACCCATGGTTTAGAACTTGCGATTTCGGTATAAGGCCACGGAAGCATCAAGGAAGTGCCAATTCGCATGGCAGGATTAGCTTAGATTGCAACAGGTGACCTTGGCCTGATATGACATCAGAAAAACAATGGTGGTTTACATGTGATTACATGTGACATGTTGTCTATATTTGGATATATGCCTTGATCACAGCTGTACCACCCATGCCATTTCAATGGGGAGATGAACATCTATCACAAGCAGCTGTTCTTGGGTGCTGGGGTTTGGCCCATACCCATTGTATCCAAAATCCACTCGGAGACGGACTTCGCGTCAGATGTCCAATATTGTCATATGGACGCGGATGTCATATTCTTCACGCGCAAACACACACACACGTGTATATATATATATATTATATCTCTGTGTGTGTGCGCGTTTAATTTATTTGCTGATATGTGTGTTTTGCCGAAATTGATCATTATGATAAAAATGATTATGGGAAGGCTGGGTCACTGGGTCACCCTTTTGTTGTTTTGTGATTTGACCCATATATTTTTGGGAGCCGCTAAGGACCACCTGCCATCGTTGTTTTTTTTTCGCCTGCAGGGCCCTCAAGGCCCCCCGGGCCGTCGAATCGCCGCCATGCCATGAGTTCTGACAGCAATGCTCCAACTCAGGAGTTCATCGAAACGTGGCCACGTAACCCCTTCTCCTTTGTTCATATTAGATCCCCACCATGACTAAGCCATATACTAAGCCAAGAAGTCTCAGGGGGGGAAGGGAGTTATCACTTTCCCATTTCCAGAAAGCCTGAGTTAGTGAGATTTGGTATGCATCTGGTCATTTTCGGGACCCGTTTGAAGACATGGCTTGAGGAGCGCCAGTGGCGATGTATTTTTGATTGTCTTTTCTTGGGTCATCTTGGGTCTATATTGACCTGCACTGCACTGGATTTGCATAGTTGATTTGGGTCTTTCAAATGTGGGCTGGACTGGGATGGATTGACCTGCGGCATGTTTTGCAGAGAATGGGCAAGTTTGGATGGGTTTGGGACTGTGAACGTTCACGCTTTTTGGGAGGACACCTGTATGGAAGCCTTGTTGCCCACCAGAGCTAAGGATTGGCTTGCCAAGCTGTCCCTTTCTCACTATCAGGATGCTGCACCTTGTCACAACTGAAGGGCCTTGTAGAGCTTGCCCTCTCGCTGAAAGTGATAGCTTCTGGTTTCCTTGCCGAGTTTTCATGCAAATATTATTTGCATGATTCAGTCCTATGAACTCATAGCTGTGGTAGTCCGTGTCCACTCCTAGTTCACCAGGCAACCGGCCCTGAGGCTTGTGAATGGTGGGTGGCGAACGGTCTCATGGCTCAGGGTGGGTGTTTTGGGTGGGAACAGATCCAGTTTTCATGGCGTTGTTTCTCAATAACGGTACTTTATACGAACTCTCTCGAACAGATAGAAAAGGAATCTATTACTATATATGTTTGAGCAGGATTTTGCTTGTCTATGGTTTGGGGGTTTCTATAATCATATGTCATAATATTTCCTTATGGTACAATTTTAACGCATCACGTCATATTTCCCCATGGTATATCTTTACCACTCGCTGGTCATGTCGCCAGATTTGATTTACTCCGCCGCGTACACTCTGACGTGCTTCACTCACGACTAGCGCAAGTGATGCAGATGAATCCTAAAATCATGTGATTTTTTCAGATTTCAGATGGTATAACACGCCGTTTTTTAAACCCTGCCCTAGCAACTATATATATATATATACAATATCATTCTAAATATCATTATATTTCTTCCATGGAAAAGGCTTGTGATGATCATTGCACGGATCATTCCCCACAGGTTCTGACAGCAAACACCAGTCCAAACGGGGGGCAGCATCAGGTGCCATCAGCTTGTCGGAGGTGATTGAGAAGCTTGACAGCCTGTGTTGTTTGGGGTGCGGCATGCCATTCAATGATTCTAAATAGTCCCAAAGAATTAAAGGATGTGTACCCTCTGGTTATTTAACATAGCCATGGAAAATGGCCCATAGAAATAGATGGTTTACCTATTAATAGCATGGTGGTTTTCCATGGCTATGTTAGTCATAACCAGATGGTAAATCCCCTATTACACCTGATTTAACTGGTGTAGAACAGATTGGGGGATGGGATTCATTGAGCCCAATCATAAGCCATCTGAGGGGGACAAAGATCTGAGATTTTCACTGGCTTGGTATAGGGGAAAACCAACAGGAACCAGGAAACCCATCTAATTGTTGGTAAATAGATGTAAAGAAACCCACACATATAATCGATGGTGAAGAGCAAAAAACATATATATTATATATATAGTTTCCCGTACATGTTCCCTTCAACCAATCCATTGAGAAAAGTATGGCTGGAGCATATCAGCCAAGGTCAGCAACTGTGGCACAAGGCATTGCAAGTGGCATACTCACAGGTAAGTAAATCCTGACGACTTACTATTCGTAGCCGAAGCATCCAAGTATCCATCGCTACACCCCGATCTGTGCTAGCTAAAACCGGAGGGAGAAAACACACATGATTTAAGATTTTTGAAACATTAGACTTTTGACATCGACTTTGGACCTATCCACCACGACTCAAGGAGTAACCGAGGAATTGGGAGGCCTTTGTGACGGATCTGCAGCTGAAGCCATTGGAACGGAAGCGAGTAGAGCAGCTTTGGCTGCCCTGGATTTGGGATTTGTGGCCGGTTCAATGGACTAGTGAAATGCTGCGGAGACAATTGGTTGATGTGTTTGGGCATTTTGATGGAGGCAAAAATGCTGATCCGCTTCGAAATTGATTTCTTTTCCCTATCTGAGGTAAGCCATTCTTGCCAGATTATTGTTTCGTTGGTAAATTTTGGGGGTTGGAAATCCCGTTTGATATATCTAGATATATTAGGCACAACTAGGTATTATTAGGCACACCCACAAGCACATACTGTTCATATACATGATATGTGTATATATATAACATTTTTTTAAATGTGCACAATATGCACATCAAATGGAAGGACTGAAATGTGATTTCCTCTTTTCCTTTGCTACAGCTCGGGTGTCATGAAGCAAGACGGAAGGAAAGACGTTGCAAGTGCGAGCAGCAACCTGCACTTTCATCACCGGTTGTCGCAAGAAGTCACTGCTGCTTGCTCGAGAATATGCTCAGCCTGTAGGCATGTTGCAAGTGTTGATACCATTTCCATTGTCAAATCAACATTGATGAACATGTAGTTTCTTTTACATTGATGGGAGCTTGCCACGCCACATATTGCCACATTATGGCATGGCCATTCCGATGGTAAGGCCCAGGGGTCCACGCAGTGTCTGCAAAAACTCTCCGTTTCCCCCAAGGCATTGCTATTTTGCAAACGTTCAATGGTTGAAAACCTTACCACACATGTAAGCAAAGGGATCCTTTTTCATGTGGTGAAACCCCCAGCAGTATGGCACTATTCATTTTCAAATTCTTCCACAGCAAATTGTGATTGGTCCGTCGGGAATACGGCCTTCTTGCTTGGTGTAACCAGTGTAAGGTTGGACGATGCACCCAGTACCAAGTTCGTGTAAGTCTCAGTTAGACAAATACTGTGTTGGTGCCGTGTGTAACATATGTATATATATATATATACATACAAATACCGTGTTGGTGAGCGTTTACATATACATATATATATATACATACATGTGTGTGTGTGTGCGCGTATACGTTTCTATATGTATGTATGTAGATATAGTGGTTATATCCATATGATTCCGTGTGTTAAAACAATGCTCCTTCCATTAAGGATCCATTAGGGGGTTCAACCGCAAAAGTTCCCAACTCAGCTAACACACCCAAGGATTGGCTTCAGGAGCTACACTTGAGCCACTACACCACGCCGCTGTTGCAGTGGTGTAAGGCGTCAGAATGGGTGGTACGGAGTCCATGCTGGGAGCTATTGGTTGTTTTATGTTGTTTTGTAAGCCAGCACTTTGAACGACCTTCCGACTGGTTCTGAGTGGTTATTCTCTATGGTCCAGCTGACTACTTGCATCCATTCGGTTCTATTCATTTCAGCTGGTTTACGCTTACATTGTCTCAACGATTAATGTCTCTATTGTTATCGGTGAAACCCAATAGTGCCAAGTTGGCAATTGTTTTTGAAAACACGTGAGCTAACCCAAAGCATGCCATATGAACAACTTGGTGAATCAACAAATAACAGTAAAACATCTTACAACAAAGAGTGAACATCTGTTAAGAACTACAGGTTTCACCATGTGACCATCGGTTTTGTGAACATGTTTCCCCCTAAATTGCCGTCGACATAGCTGCCGCGGCTCCAGGAGAATGGCGCCTCCACCATGGCTGAGCTCTGGCTCAGTTGGGAGATCTTCGCGGATCAGTTGCAGCTGAAACCCTTCGAGCGGAAACGCATGGAGCGGCGCATGGTGAATGGTTCGGTGACGGGGATTCCGGATGGGAAAGTCACATGAAAGTCACATAAATTCATCACTTGATATCAAGTTGAGTGATATCGGCTATATCTACATATATCATTCATATATCTATTTTTTGTCATTCAAATTCATTCAACATTTCTAAGATCTAAATTTTGCACAGGTCCAAAGGTGTTGACCTTGACAAAAGCAAGGAGCGGGACGTTGCATCAAGGCCCACAGGGCCCACAGCATCACCTGTCGCTTCAAGGTCGGATGGATTAGCGGTGATTCCGCTGCTTGGGTGATCATATATATATATTTAGATAGAGATACATATATATATATATAATATAGTTCTATATGCCTATTTATATATATACATAGATAGATAGAAAGAAAGAAAGATAGATAGATGGATAGATAGATAGATAAATAGATATGTATGATATGTATGATATATGAATTATATGATCTCAATGGACTTTTGTTGTCAGGACAGGTTCAGACCAACAATCAATCGGGAAACGAAGTATGGGATTGTCATAGGTAAATGTGTATTGCCTCATGTGGAAAACAACACTATTAAAACAATATATTAACCAACCCTATTTTGGGGTAGGCTATTCAATATCTCCCAACGGATAAATGATATACATTGATATACATATATATGGGAAATTGAGTGGTGTATGGTTTATTGTATTGGGAGACATTTGCTGGGCCGACGACTCTATTGGCATTTTCCTGCATTTTGATCTAGCTAGGCTCTCGACTTGCATCGGGTTTCTTACAACCTGGAGATGATCTTGGTTGCTGTCTCAAGTTTTGCTTCCTCCTTCCCACCTTGCTATGAGATGAATGGTAGATCCAATATTATAGTTGCTGTTTTGCTTCCCCTTATTCCACATATGTTGTTCAACTGAAGTTCTGAATAGAAAAAGTTCTCCTTCCCACCTTGCTGTGCTTGGCAGGCCGGCGGCGCCGGTCGCGGATCGGGTGTTTGGACCCCCGGAGGATCCGCGGATGTATCAGCTGATTGAAGAGACCCTTGGCACGGAGATGCACGGAGTGACAGAGCGCAAGTTGCAAGTTCCTACTGAGGTCCTACTGGATGTGGGCAACCCAATAAGAAACAATCCCCATCAATCCCCTAATTCACTATATGGGTGGTATGAGTATAAACCATCCCGAAATGGCGAAATGGTAGGTTTTTGGCATTGGATTGCACATAAACTATTCTTCAAAAGGAGCCAAGCATTGAACACAATTGCGCAGTTGGGGGCCTGACCATGGCAACTTACAAGTCTGGATCAGAGACAGCAGGACGATGAATCCTGAACTCTGTGTCAGTGTATCATTCTGCCCGTTTTGCATTGATCATTCCATATAGCCTCCAGTCAGCTGGTTTCAACCCCAAATTTTCTGTGTTCTTTTGCTTCACCTTCATATTTTCGAATTTTGAGAGGACATCATTGCAAAAAAGGGCCCAGTCTTTCTATTTTGTTTCTTGATTCTCTATGTTTCTATCGTTTCAAGGACCACTTCGCCTTGTCTTAGGATTGGCTTCGGGGTGACCTCAAAAGTCTGGAAGTGTTGCCGGGGGAAGGCCCCCGTGCAGATCTTTGGAATCAATCCATGGAAAATCCAAGGGACATTGGGATCGCTTACCAACCAACAATTTTCTCAACATGGTGATAGAATGGTGGAGATTTCATGGGGATATTTTTGATGGGATAGCATGGAATATCAACATGGGATATTGGTTGATATTGGTTGATCCATTTTAATATCATCAAACATGGCTGGCTGCTGGCAAATCCCCTTTTCTAGATGGGCGATTTTCCTGCGAGCCAGGTTTGAGAAACCGGGAGGGTATGGTTGATTGTGGTCGCATCATGTTGCATCCATATTCCCCAGGAAAATCCAAAGCTCTTGTGAGCTACGACCGGAGTTTCCCAACAAAAAACGATGGGATCCGAAATGAATCTATATAAATGATTGGTTTTGATGTGTTTCATCCTGTGTCCTTTGAGAAAAAATCACATATCAAGACCTCCCAAAGTTCCAGATTAGAGTAGAACAACTTCCAGTTCAGTTCAGCAACATGTTTTGCGAACTATTTTCTGACTGATTCAAGTGCACGATGTATTTGAAGTGTTTTCACCTATTTTTCATCCAACACATGCCCAATTGAATTGGAGGATTGACAGAGAGAACATGGAAACCATTGGAAAGCCATAGAATATCCTAGAATTACTATAGTCAAAACCAGTAAAAAAAAACGCAATGGTTTCCTCCAGATTTTCGCAAAAACCCATCGACCATTCGCAGGACATCTATGCGGTGAAGGTCATTAGCCTGAAACGCTTGCGACACCAACCGGGCTTCACGCGGATGAACGACAGGCCCTGATGAGATGGTGTTTCAGAATGGAGTTTGGTCACCTTGATATCTTTATGCACTGTGGATTACAATGGTTTACATGCAAAGTAGGTTGAAACTAAACCATTGTTAGCAAAGTATGTTGAACAACATATGTGAAGTGAACAGAACCGTTTGAGACATTGCTCATATACAAATTTTGCGTGCATCACATACATGTATAACTTATATGTGCCATATACATAATTTACGTCTAGATGATATGTACACACGCATTACATGTGTATAATATATATATATATATATATATCTATGTTTATTGTTATATATATATAGTGTAATATATGCAGACTCCTGCCTCTGAGTCATGCTATGTCATGTTGCATGTGTACCAGCACCACGCAGGCTGCACCAAGAGATTGAGATCCTTCTCTCTTTGCTGCTCGTTGCGTTGGGCGGGGCCGGCTGATTCGGAGGGGCGTCATATAGGGCCATTGATTTCCCGTTGGGGGATAGGAAAATGGCTGCCAAGTGGCTTGCAGTGGCCAACTATGACTCATTTCCAGCATGGCTGGCAAGTTGAAACGCACTTGGTGAGATTTATTGTTGGGATTTAGAGCAGTGGAAGCAGTTTCATGCGGTTTCCAACTCCCTTGGCAGAATTGCGGTTGTAACCTCAAGCAGTTGCAGTTTCACTTAAGGAAGATTCTCAACAAATGCACTAAATGTGGTATATATGTAGTATGTTTCCTATGTTACTTCAGCCCAGCCCAAGACATCACCCATTCTCCCGGTGCATCCAGTCGTCACCGTCGTCACCATCCAGGAAGCACGAGCACATTGTGAAGCTGGTGGACGTGGTGCGCCCCGAAGGGCGTTCTGCTTTGCCTGAGCTCCTGTGAAGGATAGGTGATCTTGAACTATTTATCGGCAAATTATAGGAACATGATACGAAGATATTGCAAAACATTGGTGTTAACATACGGGAATTCAATACCAATTCAATAATTCCCATCAATGTTAATATAATATATGCGTTTGATGGGAAGTCCAGCAACAATTTGATGGTATTGTGGGGGATATCATGGGGATGGCTAGGAAATCCCCGAAATGGAGGTTTTGGAGGTTCCAATAAGCCTTGTTTGATTACCATGTACATCTTCCTAGGGTATAAATATATATATATAAATAATTTGGGTATATAATATATTTTTTGGGGGTCACAGAACTTTTGGCTCAGGTTTATTCCCATTTTGCTGGAAGAAGTTCTCATATTACAGGGTTTCAAGACAGCCAAAGGTTTGGTCGCTCGTACTAGGTCTTGAAATATAGTACATTTTTTTGTACATAATGTTTACTATTCTTACTGGAAGCATGATTTTGTTTTTGGGGGATGGCCCTTCAATACATTTTAAGGGGACTTGAAATTGGACCAGATCAGTCCCAGGTGGAAGAAGAAGACTGTCTTTACCTCGTGATGGAGCTCATCAGCTACTGGATTTCATGGGATTTACAGCAGCACAGCCCACGGGGATTTGGGGTAAAGATCTGATCCAACATGGGGATCCATTGCGATCTCTACGGTGCGGCTTATCTTCCAAGCTTTAAATGAGATCCTATGTCTAGTGGAACTGCAGTTGTACCAGTTACCATCCCCCATCTACCAAATGGAGGGCTTAGAGGATTACTTTCATCTAAAATATCTAGACATTTGCTATTCTCAGGGTCAAACTGTTGATGCGGGGATTGTAATCTAACTATACTTATGCTTAAATCATATATATATATATATATATACGTATATAACCGTGTCTATATATATATACTTCAGGAGGAACAAAGTTTATGCTTCTTGGAAGCTTTACAAAACATCCATTTCGGTCAACCGCGGATCACATTTTCAAGTCCGTTTTGTGTGGCAGGTGTGGGACGGTCAATTATCACCCTCTTTTAAATATATAAGATTTTAAAGCTTTTGGAGGATGGAAATGCGACCGGGGTACGACAAAGCTCCATGCTAGGATTCTACGGGGAAAGGGTGTGCAAAAGAAGAAACCAAACATGTTCACTGTGGGTAGCTCAACAAGCGCAACTTTTGTCCTACCAGTGCGTCACAGCACATGTGTAGCAGTGCAGACAAAGAGGATGGAGACAAACATGTTATGTGGAGTAATGACCAAGCTGAAGCAGGTGCAAAAATCAGCAAATGACTTGGCAATTCCCACTAAATAAGCTTTTTGTACCCTGCGTCACGGCACATGTGTAGCAGTGAAGACAAAGAGGATGGAGACAGACATGTTAGGTGGAGTAATGGCCAAGCTGAAGCAGGTGCAAAAATCAGCAAATAACTTGGCAATTCCCACTAAATAAGCTTTTTGTACCCTGCGTCACGGCACATGTGTAGCAGTGCAGACAAAGAGGATGGAGACAGACATGTTACGTGGAGTAATGACCTAGCTGAAGCAGGTGCAAAAGTCAGCAAATGACTTGGCAATTCCCACTAAATAAGCTTTTTGTACCCTGCGTCACGGCACATGTGTAGCAGTGCAGACAAAGAGGATGGAGACAGACATGTTATGTGGAGTAATGACCAAGCTGAAGCAGCTGCAAAAATCAGCAAATGACGTGGCAATTCCCACTAAATAAGCTTTTTGTACCCTTCAGGAGGAGCAAACTTTATGCTTCTTGGAAGCTTTACAAAACATCCATTTCGGTCAACCGCGGATCACATTTTCAAGTCCGTTTTGTGTGGCAGGTGTGGGACGGTCAATTATCACCCTCTTTTAAATATATAAGATTTTAAAGCTTTTGGAGGATGGAAATGCGACCGGGGTACGACAAAGCTCCATGCTAGGATTCCACGGGGAAAGTGTGTGCAGAAGAAGAAACCAAACATGTTCACTGTGGGTAGCTCAACAAGCGCAACTTTTGTCCTACCAGTGCGTCACAGCACATGTGTAGCAGTGCAGACAAAAAGAATGGAGACAGACATGTTATGTGGCGTAATGACCAAGCATGACCAAGCTGAAGCAGGTGCAAAAATCAGCAAATGACGCGGCAATTCCCACTAAATAAGCTTTTTGTACCCTGCGTCACGGCACATGTGTAGCAGTGCAGACAAAGAGGATGGAAACAGATATGTTATGTGGAGTAATGACCAAGCTGAAGCAGGTGCAAGAATCAGCAAATGACGTGGCAATTCCCACTAAATAAGCTTTTTGTACCCTGCGTCACAGCACATGTGTAGCAGTGCAGACAAAGAGGATGGAGACAGACATGTTATGTGGAGTAATGACCAAGCTGAAGCAGGTGCAAAAATCAGCAAATGACTTGGCAATTCCCACTAAATAAGCTTTTTGTACCCTGCGTCACAGCACATGTGTAGCAGTGCAGACAAAGAGGATGGAGACAGACGTGTTATGTGGAGTAATGACCAAGCTGAAGCAGGTGCAAAAATCAGCAAATGACTTGGCAATTCCCACTAAATAAGCTTTTTGTACCCTTCAGGAGGAACAAAGTTTATGCTTCTTGAAAGCTTTACAAAACACCCATTTCAGTCAACCGCGGATCACATTTTCAAGTCCGTTTTGTGTGGCAGGTGTGGGACGGTCAATTATCACCCTCTTTTAAATATATAAGATTTTAAAGCTTTTGGAGGATGGAAATGCGACCGGGGTACGACAAAGCTCCATGCTAGGATTCTACGGGGAAAGGGTGTGCAGAAGAAGAAACCAAACATGTTCACTGTGGGTAGCTCAACAAGCGCAACTTTTGTCCTACCAGTGTATTGCATCACCCTTTCTGTTGCTTAGATCCCAATTTTTCTTCGTTGAAATCCCCAGTCGCACCACCAGTCGCAGCAGCGCAACGCGCTTTCAGCTCTCAGGTGGAGGTGAACTGGGGGAATGGATTGTGAAGAAGGGCGTTTTCGATGAGCTTTCGGCACGTCATGTCTTCATGCAGATTGCACAAGGGCACCTTGCCTCCATGGGGATATAAAGAGCTGGTTGACTGGGCGAAAAAGGCATGGAAAAGTGCAGTAAGCTTGAGCCATTTAAGTCCATTTCTCATGTAAGGTCGGCCCTAGATTTCCCCAGTGGAGCTGGTTCCGGGATGCTCCGAGGGACGTGTCTTCATTTCCAGGTGACGTTTCCCTGGCGAGTTGGTTTGTTGGATTTTGTTGGATTATATCCCCATACCCCCAGTAGCTACAGATCGATAGATCTACATAGATCTACCATGAAAGCCCAACACTGCACCTGAACTTCACCAAGGCCCAGGCCCAAAATCTATAAAAATCCACCACCCTGGGCATCCCTGGGCCCAGGTTGGCATACATCCACAGCAAGGGTATCATCCATCGGGACCTGAAACCCGACAATATTCTGGTAGACGTGCCCTGGATGAATGGGTGATACCCCCCAGGTTTACTCGTGTCCACGGGGTTTCTATGGGGTAACAATTTTGATAGTTCTTGGGATAATGAGAATAAGTCAATAAGTTAATACTGAGAAATCACGGGAGTTTATATACTGTAACCAAACTTTCCACAGAACAGTGGGGCAGTGGCTGCTTTGGAAACCTGAAATCAGACTTGCACACTCGGATGCGGATGAAAATTCGCAGGCCAACTAGCATGCATCGCATAAGTGTCGTATTCTATCACCCGGTGATAGGGGAAGCGCCCAAGAAACCAGAAGGGTACTAGTCATGGCGGCAAAGGAAGCACACGGTGGATTTTCCATAGAAGCTGAGCCCAAAACATATGGGAGTCGTTCCAAAACCATGCAAGACTGTTAGTATCCGAGTGACATCTGCAGATATGGACCATATGGATGTGTGTTTTTGCTGCAGTGGCGAAAGACCGCGAAATCCAGATGCCCCTACAATCCACAGCTTTGTGCTGAAATCCCCATGTCTCTTGCCAAGAGCCCAGGCGAATCCCTTCATTGCTTGAAATCCTGTAACCGTTGGTTCAGATCTGCCACAATAAATAGATTTATAGTATGATTCAGCAAAGATGGACTTGTTATGTGTTTTCACCATGATCCCCATGATATATGTTTGTGGTAGTGACTTGGACTTGATGAAATTGGAAGCAAATTTAAATTTGGGACTTACACCTCGACTCCTGGATCGATGGAACATTCTCCCAGCAAAAACCATCCCAACCTAAGCAAGAAACATAACTTGACGAATCCGGCAAATCAAAGAAAACACCAACTTTTCTAAATTCACGTGCCAAATTTTCAGAAAAGATATCGCTTCCCACTTGCAAAATACCAGTTTACCACAAGAAAAGCATCAATTTGAGGCACCCAACCACGATTTTCCCAGGGAAAACACGGGGAAACCACCATTGTCCTGGGGAAAGTCACCATTTTCCTAGGGAAAGCCATGGGTTTTCGACATGAGTCCTCCACTGCTGAGAAGTTGTCCGTAAAGCTTTCGGACTTTGGGCACTCGCGGCTGATGAACGACGGCTCGAGCGTTCCTGGCAGCCTGGTGGCAGATGGGCTGAGTGGGTGACCTTTCTGGTGGTTCACCACAGTGGCTGACCCCAGATACAAGAGAGTACTTGATCGCCCTATAAAAATTGTGATTTTCCCATTAAAAAATTGTGATTTTCAATAACTATGTTAAATTATACAAGGTGGTGCCCCATAGTTAGCTAAGTTGGTGCCAATAACTCCCATTTCACTATGGTTTATGGTAGATATAACGAGCTAGTTCATGGGGTGTATAAACCAACTTATGACTGGGGGGCACCATCCTGTAGTACTTGATCGCCCTATAAAAATTGTAAAATCAGGGGGTGCACCACTGCACCACCCTATATAATTCGCTTGGGATAAGGATTGAAACCGCACAAGTTTGGATCTTTACTGGAAAACCCTTTGTGATTTTGGGATTATGCGATTGTTGAGCTGTACAAACTTGATTCTTTCGGCACATCCTCTTGAACAATCTTAAACATATCTAACCAAAAATATCCAAAAATCACATGCTTTCAAGATTAGTAGGCCATGATTGGTGGTTCTTATGGGTGCCCCCGGGCCATGGCCCAATGGCAGCCTTCAATGGCCAGGTTTGCAACGGCGCCTCACGGCACGCATCGGCACTGCCATGTATTGGGCGCCCGAGGTAGCTGGGCATTCTATGTTTGACCATGGCTGGTGTCATCTGGTGTCTGGGTATAGCAACCCCATTAAAAAAAAAAAAACCATCAAAAGCCATCAAAAGCTATAGAATATATAGAATCCGGTCATGTTTTTTTCCATTTTTTTGGAGGACAAGAACTGACTTTTCGGCATTTTGCAGGTCTCAGATCCCACCCGTGCGGCCCTGGGCTACGATCAATCCGCAGACCTTTGGAGCTTGGGCGTTGTGCTGTGACCTGGCAAGAAAAGGACATGGGTTTGGCCATTGGGGAATCCTTGTAACAATGGTTGATGATGTAACCATTACATGATATATATATATATATAAATATAAATATATATATATATATACAAATATATATATATGTATGATATGTAACCATACTATGTCTTAATCTACATCATATGTTTATGATTGTTTATGTGTGTTCTTTTAATATTTTTTAATGTTGTTTGTTCAATTTTACATGACTACAACACCGGGGAACCAGCCATTGTGTGAAGCTTGAGATGATCTCAGAGATGGGGCCGACGGCACCAAGGTATGTGATGCCTCTTGGCAGGGACTGCTTGGGGAGACGCCAGAGATGATTCAATCCAACTCGCAACAAACATGACAGCTGTGTTTCCATTTATGCAATTTTATACATGATGTTCTTGTAAGACATTGGTATGTCCCAGGCATTCATTTGTGCTTCCTAGGTGTTGTAACATCAAGACTGTCAAATGGGTACCCAACACTTCATGGCAAGTTGGGTGACTTCACCTTCCGGTTGTCACAGAGCAATAATTTATTTGGCACTTGGGGAAGAACCAAAAACATGAATCCATTTGCCATCCTGTGGGCTTTTTAACACAGCCTATTAAATAGATCTATTAGCTTCTCCTAGCCTATAGCTATTGCATAAATATACTAAATGCATCGAAATCCATTCAGCACGTTTCGAATAGTTTTGACATGTTTTGACCAAAGCATTGCAAATATGGTAATATGTCCATATATGTCCATATTTGATTCTATATATTAGTGATGCTTCTTGGAGATCTCCGCCAGGTTGATTGGTTTCTTCCCCTTCGAGAATGGGGATCACCTGGGAGATCGGCTACAGGAGGATGTGAACAACCTCACTTTCAAGCAGCCCAGCGGCGTTTTTTTGCGCCAACAAAAGCGATCGATCATAACCCTGGCATGTTCCGAACATTGGGAAAAATTGGAAAAATATGTGGGTAAAGAAGGGGAAGAATGGGATTTTACATGATCTAAGCATTGGATTGGATTGGGGTTCTAAGTGACAAATGATGGTGGCTCGTTGGTGATTTGTTTGACAGGGTTATACTGCCCGCGCTCCATATCTTGGGGAACATGATGGTCAATTTATATACATGGGTCCACGTGAAAACAAACCTTTGTGCATAGGATGTTCTGATTTTCCTCAAGGTTTCAGTTCCACTGCTCAGATACAATGACTTAACTTATAGGTAGGATTCTCTAGCAGCTTAGCAGTTTTACCTCCTTGTGCTTCAGTCTCTTTGGTCCTCTGCATGGCAGTGATCCACGAGGGATCTACCAGTGGGAAGAGCAACATAGAGAGCAACTCATCCTAAGGTTCCAGCACCATTCCATTGCGATTGTTTGGGGGGCTTGCCATCAGATGTTGGTTCTGAAACTCCATCAAAAGAGGGGGGAAAGAGAAAGCAACGGTCCATGATGGGTCATTTCATGACGGATCATCCAAGAATCATCAAATCATCATTGATCTGATTAGAACTCATGTGTCATTCAAAATGTTGTTCCATGGATCATCCAAAAATCATCAATCCATTCATTCAAAAATCCATCACATACCCTCTGGTAATTTAACATAGCTATGGAAAATAACTATTTTTTATGGGAAAATCCACTATAAATGGCAATTTTCAATAGCTACGTTAAATTACCAGAGGGTATATCACATTCCAAATGTCATGATGGGGCCATCCAGGGACCATCCATGGTCCATGCCGCACCAAGACCCCGCTCCTCGGGGCCAGAATTGAGTCCAGATGTGCAGGAGCGCGACATTGAGGATGTCAGTTATATTATATGAGCTTTAACTATATTAGCTGACATAGGTTATGTATGGTTATGTGATGAAGCCTTCAACTATTTGTTAACTATGGTTAGTTAACATTAATCTGTTAACATCAGTTACTTAACACTAAGCTTATCCACTATAGTTCAATTTAAGATCTTTAAGTTAGTTCACTTGTAACTACGGTTTACTGGGGGCTTCAGCAGTAAACATGAGAAATCGACTGATATCATTGGTCAGTCAGAAGTCAGAAGTCTCAGGCTTTGTGGGAACCCTGGAAGCGGTGAGTAGAATGGCGAATGCCAGTTGACAATGTTTGGCAACCTTTGGTCTTGGCTGGAGAAAAAAAACGGCCATGCTTTGATATGAAACACAACATGCAGTGCATTCAAGAGATAGATAGAGATAGCTCAGTGATGTTCACTGCACTTTCCAGATTATAGTCATAAACACGTTTGGCCAAACCCCCAACCCATCAGCCCTTTCAGGATTTGCTCCGATCATTGCTGGTCATTGATCCGCAGAAGCGGTTGCCCTTGACGTTCCCTGGCGGCAAACTGCGTTGCTAAGATTGATTTGGATTGGGTACTTCCTCTCACTTCCAAAAGGGGGGTGCAACCACAGTAACATAGAGTAACTAGTCTACTCAACAACATTTCACCACTTCACAACTATTGAACCATCATTCAGTTACATTCATTGCCTGAAACTGCCAGGAATCTCTTTAAGACATTGGCCGTTGTATGGGAAGCTTCAAATTGGGAAAGAATCCCATCATTGGCAAACCCTCAAGATTCCACCACTGTTGGGTAGCAAACCAAAAATGACACTGCTTCGCTGCTTCATGTTCACGCACCGCATCCCCTGGCAAACAAGAAATACAGGATGTTGTTCAAACCATTTCAAACCCTAAAGATCACTACATATCACTACTCTTTGATAATCTCACATAGCTATGGATAGTGGCCCCTTTTGCAGATGATTTACTTAAGTTTATTGCATTCCCTATTAAAGATGTTGGTTTTCCACAGCAAACTGTGAGGTTCCCAGATGGCTTTCCTACCAATCTTCCATGAAGATTCCATAAAAAAAATCGATCGAGATTCCGATTTCCATGAAGATTCCATGGCTATTTCACTAATATTACCCTCTGGTAATTTAACATAGCTATTGAAAATGACCATTTATAGTTGATTTTCCCATTGAAAATGGTGATTTTCCATAGTTATGTTAGTTTACCAGAGGGTCTAGGGATTTTACTAAAATGGTGGGGGTACCGTTTACTAAGGGGTACCCCAAAAACGCTGGATGGTTTCGAATGGACGTTCCGATGATTTGGGCTGAGGCAATGCCTTGGTCATCGTTGGACCTCGGGACAGCTCGACACTTGGTCATGCGACAGCTGTGACTGGCTGGGTACCGTTTGGCTAAAGCCTTTTAAAGCCTTCCATGAAAAATTGAGTCAAAAATGAGGTGTCCTAAATGGTCTTTCCAAACCCCTTTTCACAGCATTTTAGGACACCTATAAAATTACTGGCCATTTTACATTTTAGGAGATTGATTTCGAATATTTTTTGAAGTATACCTACAGGATCCTACAGTATTAAATTTTGGTAGCACAAACGGGTATCAGTGGGATCATCATCACATTTCTAAGGTTGAACATAAAGTATATTCCAAAACAACAGCCACCGCATCATTGCTGTAGATCATATCTTCATTTGGTTTGGGTCCACTTTTTAGATCATTTTAGATGGTTATATTTAATATCCTTATCCCATTCCATCCCCACTATATCAATGACAGAACCATTGTATTCCCATATATGCTTGTTTATTCTATGTCCCAATTATACCCCCATCACCACCATTTTCTTGGCTTACCGGCTAATTTCCATGATATCCGCATGATGTTCCAGTATACATGCCAATTTCAGGTGCTGAATATCGAGGTTGAAATCAAAACACCAGGTTTTTATGTACTGTAGATGCATCACATCACCAAATTTTGGGGCCTTAAAGCCTGGTACCCCAACGGTCACTACCTAAGCAATCCCTAAAATGTACCTGAGAGTATGAAAAAGTGAAAGCATGGTTCAGACATGAAATCCACATGCCCCTACATGAGGGTACTGGTTTGGGCATTTTCTAGTTGGCTCCAAGCTTAAAAATTGAAGGATAATATGTGCCAACCTCAATCCATGTTTCACCCCGCCCAACTCTCATCATATGGCTTTTTTCTTTCAGCCGTGGCGAGTCACGAGACTGCGCGCAAAAAAAACGATTCTCACCACAAAATATAAAATTGCCAGCACTTTTATGGGTGTCCTAAAAATCTGCAAAGAGGGCTTCAAAAAGACCAATTTAAGACTAAGTTAAGACACTTCATGTTTGACTCAATTTTTGGTGGAAGGCTTTAGCACTACCTAAGCAATCCCGGAAACACTTAAAGAAATACCCCCCTATAATGTTGATTATAGCTTTGTGCCCTTTATGATCTTTATGGATCTTTTTGGTGATTGATTGATGCAAGATCGACAGTTCGCAATCTATATCTACCGGCAATCAGATAGGCAGTTCGCTCACTAGAAAAAAACGGTGTGGATTGGACATTAGGATTGTGTTTTTTTTCTGGGGGGCGGGTAGGGGACAGGATATATAATTGTTTGAGATGTTGGATAAATATGACCGAAGCCCAGAAACTGGGAGACAAGGAAATTGTTTTACGGATTTTGATGTTTTATGTATGTTATAGCTAACATCTCCAAGATTTAACATCAGTGTTTTTTCTTTGTTGAAAGGCTGGAGCCCTAGAACATAATTTTGATTTCGCATTTTTTTCCAAGGAGTGAACTTCCCTGGGCGGTCCAAAGAGATATCCCAATGACAAATATTTGTTCAGCTGGGTTGAAACCACCAATCTTGTAGGCATAGTAGTTGGAGACGATTGGATGGTATGGAATACAATCGGATACTTTGGGTTAACATCCATGCACTGAAGGAAACTTAGAACGTTCACCCAAGGACAGCAGGCTGGAATACATGAAGCTGTCCACAGACCCGAACCCCAGCGCTGTAGAAGTTCGAGTTCCGCTGATTGCTCTTTGGCGTTTCGGTGGGGTCACTCCACAAGCTTCAGAGAGCCAAGCAATATCTCACTGAACATGTTTGTTTAACGGAACCGCATATGAACAAATCGATATATGAAAGAAGTTTGGAGTGGGGTTGGTTCCACTATTTCTATCTCTGTCTAATCCTTCCCTTTTTGACATTGCGATAGGAAAATGTATGAACATATGATATATGTGCTAAACAGCTAAACAAGCCTGCAGGGTATCGATGCTTGGCCATGTGAAACCATGACGTGGGGTTATGGCATGTTATGGCCATTGTGCACAACGACGGCCAAAAATTCCTTTTCCTCTGTACAGATTCCATGTTGTTTTCAATCATGTTCCATGGCTGTTTTCGAGTTTTAGAGATTCCCCGTGTTTTTCATCACGGTGACGAATGGCTGCGGTCAACGCGTCATCTGCGCACATTGAAAGCGAGTCATCTGCGCACATTGCAAACGAGTCATCCGCGCACAGAGAAACCGCGTCATCCGCGCACAAAGAGCGGTCATCCGCGCACATTGATGCTGGGAACCAGCCATTTCGGGTTTGGTTGGGGTGGGGGGGTGGGGTGGGATGATAACGTTCATGTTCCTATGCACACACCGGCACAGCAACCTCATCATCTTTCTTGCTGTTGAGAAGAGACAGGCACAGCTCTTTCATGATCAGTTACCGGTGGGGTGGGGTGAGTTAATAAGGTTCATGTTCCAATGCCTGCACACGCACAGCAACCTCATCATCTTTCTTGCTGTAGAGCACTTACACGCACTGCTCTTTCATGATCAGTTACCCTTGGGGTGGGGTGGGGTGGGGTGGGATGCTAACGTTCATGTTCCTATGCACACACAGGCACAGCAACCTCATCATCTTTCTTCCCGTAGAGCAGAGACAGGCACAGCTCTTTCATGATCAGTTACCGGTGGGGTGGGGTGAGTTAATTAGGTTCATGTTCCTATGCCTGCACACGCACAGCAACCTCATCATCTTTCTTGCTGTAGAGCACTTACACGCACTGCTCTTTCATGATCAGTACTTCCTAGATGAGAGGAGTTGTGTGAAATGAGTTGTGTTAGTTGTGAGATGAGCGGAAATACGTGAGATGAGTTGTGTGAGTTGTGAGATGAGTGGAGTAGTGTGAGATGAGTTGTGTGAGTTGTGAGATGAGTTGTGTGAAAGAACTTGGGTGAAGTTCAGTGAGAGAACACGAAGCAGCTCCACCAAATGCCACACGAAAGCAGCTCTTGAGAGAGTTGAGTTGTGTGAGATGAGTTGAGTGAGATGAGTTGTGTGAGATGAGTTGTGTGACTTGTGAGATGAGAGGAGTTGTGTGAGATGAAATGGGTGCATTGTGTGAGACAACTTGAGTGAAGTTGAGAGAGAAAGAAGCAACTCAGGAGGAGAAGGAGGAGAAGGCACGGAATACAAACATAAAAACAAAAGCCCCACACAGAGATGTGAGGAAAAAAACCATAACTTGATGAGTTGTGTGATGATGTTAAAAAAAGCTAGAAGAAGAATCATGTTACAGAGCTACAATGACAAAATCACACAACAAAAACGTGCACAGACGACCAACCGTCTGACGTGCACAGACGACCCACTTTTGACGTGCACAGACGACCCCTCAACCAATGGCTGCTGAGCCATCTGAGGTGAAGCCTGAGGCTGAGGCATTGCAGTTGCTGCGGGTGGATCTTCAGAAGTGGATGTACAAATTTCGCCGCTGATGCTGCCCTCCGGGGAAGATTTGTTGGGAGATTCCCAGTGGCTAATAGACCAGATATAAGCCATACATCGGATGCATGTTGTATATATAGAGATATAGATATAGATTGATTTGGGTATAGATACCGATATATATATATATAGAAATTCTTGGATCTTGATTAGTGCCGGCCCCCTCCATCAATTGAGGGGGTTGCTTTAGGCTGGTAAATTTTGAGGGACCAAGTTTGGAATAGTTTGGATCATGATCTCGAGATATCCTGAGTAAGGAGTTCAATTGATATCAATTTACGTTCAGTTGATTTTCCTTTTAAACCTTCAAGAAACCAATTGATAAGAAAGGATTTCAATTTATATCAATCTACTTTCAACATATGTCAACTGAATTTCCTTGCACACCTTAAAGAAACATATTGATAAGACAGGATTTCAATTGATATCAATTTACTTTCAGTTTATTTTCCTTTTAAACCTTCAAGAAATCAATTGATAAGAAAGGATTTCAATTTATATCAATCTACTTTCAACATATGTCAACTGAATTTCCTTGCAAACCTTAAACAAACCTATTGATAAACAAGGATTTCAATTGATATCAACCTACCTTTAGTTGATGTTCTTTTCACACTTCACAGAAATCTATTGATTTAATGAGAATGTCGCTTGGTTTCAATCTACAGTACGTTCGATTGATTTTACTTTAAAACTTTAAAACCATCTAAAGATAAGTGTGGATTTCAATTGATATCAATACATTTTCAATGTTCTTTATTTTTCCTTTTTAAACCTAGATCTATGATCTAAGGAATTCTAAGGATAAGTAATGACTTCAATAAATTTACATCGACTTTCAAAAAATAGTTGAGAGATAATATTCAATATTCTCCTTGCATCTGATACGGTATAACCACTTATATAATATAGAATTATATAAAAACACCAGTTCGATGATATGTCTGAAACCTCAGCTCATAAAATTTGCTGTTTTACGATGCTTATCGACGATTTTCCCGTTTGAATCCCCATAATTGGGGATTTCCCAGCCTAAGATGTGGGATGACACCGGAGGGTATCTTAACCATTGTCAATATTCCATATGAATATTCCATATACCAAATCCAAAAATGATGCGATGTTTGTTGATCAAATCCTATCAAATCCCAGTGTTTGCTGGATTTCCCATGGATTTCCCATGGATTTCCCATGGATTTCCCATGGATTTCTGGATTTCCCATATGGCTTTCCCAGGTCGCTTCGCGGCCATGCGGCACGGGGAGGTCATCGCCAATCTGGGCGAATCCTCGCAGGCCATGGGTTAACCAATGGTGAAAAGCAGAAACCGATGACTTGGGGGCTTTTAACCTATAAGTTGGTGCCAATAACTCCCATTTCACTATGGTTTATGGTAGATATAACTCTAGTATACTATAGTTAATGTGGTTTATAAACCAACAAACATCACTGGGGGGCACCATCCTGTATGACTTGGTGATTTTTTTGGCCTAAGACTTAGGAAATTCATTTTTTGTTGCTTAAAAAATGCTTATACCAGGAGGGTTGAGCAAGAGAATACGGTATATGAACCAGCAATACTTCGGAAAATTGAGTGTTTATGGGGATTATATTGGCAGAGAAAGGGAATCGATGATCGACAATGGGGTTTATTGACAAATGACTTGTTAGGGTGTGTCTGAAAATGGGGTGTGCCCAATTTTATGACCATTTAATGGGGAAATGACGACCGGATTTGGGGGCGCCATATTTTCGGACAAACTTCAATACGACAACATGAACATCACCTGATTGATCCTTGACAAGTTTTAAAGTAGGGTTTTTTCAACAACATGTGTGTTGAATGAACCAGCTAGACTTGAGATTTAACCACAAAGCTTCATGACGATGTGTCAAACTGAAAACCACAACCTCAAAGTTGATACCACCGATGTGCGGCTAGCTGGTTTCCAGCTGACGACAACTGGCGATGTCACTGGCGACTGGTGATCCCTGGAAGAGGGAACATCACCGACTCTCTTGATGAAGTCGGAGTGGATATTTCCTGCGTGGCCGGCGTACTAAATTATACTGCAAACATGGTTTGCTCCATGTTTGAAGTTAAGCCCCTGAAATGTGCAAGATAATTCCGAATCTGCCGATATATTTTTGAGTGGAAAAAAGTACCGACCAAAGTCTGGTTGAATGGGACCCACGAAGGTTGTTCATTTGCTCATTTGGAGTAGGCCAACGAAATCTCGCAGCCCCTCACCATCCAAAACAGTGTATAACTACATATATCATCGTATAACGACACCGGAATGGTCGAGAATTGAAACTGGTTGGTGGTTTGGAACATGTTTTATTTTCATTTACTTTCCATAATGCATGGGATAATCCTTCCCATTGACTTTCATATTGTTAAGATGGTTAAAACCACCACCCAGATATATATATATATATACAGTATATATATATATATATTATCATTATTGTTATTATTATCCCATTCCATTCCATTAAACCCATGAAAATCCCATTGAAATCCCATTAAAATCCCAGATATCCAGGATTTCCCATTGCCCAGGCGGACTTGCCCGAGAGTAAGGCGGCGCGGCGCGAGCTGCAAGCCATCGTGGAACGCCACTGCGGGCGAGGGATGTGCCGGACCCAGCCGGTTTCATGGTGGATTTCACTGGGAAAAAAAAACAACTAGAAATCACCAGTTAACCTACCCTCTGGTAATTCAACGTAGCTATTGAAAATGGCCATTTATAGTGGATTTTCCCATTGAAAATGGTGATTTTCGATAGTTATGTTAGTTTACCAGAGGGTACTAGATATAGTTCATTAGAAATGTGTATAGTGGGATTATTAATGGGATTACAACATATTATAACTAAACAGCTAGTAACTAGAGACTATAGTTCATCAAGAAAATAGATGGGAATATTTTGGGAATATAGTGGGATCATAGTTCTGTGGGATTTCTTAACGGATTTGTAAGTTATAAAATTGCAATGGTTTATATAGTGGAAATATCATGTGATTTAACCAGCACTATTTTGGTTTTATGTATTGGATGTATTGGGATATAGCCACTAATGATGACACTAAGGAAAGATCGTGGAGGATGGATTATTCCTATATAGTGACAATGGATAAGAATTTGATAATTAATGTTGGATAATGGGTATAATTATGCGATAAGAATGGGTGAAATTAGGTATTTATTATCAAACAATGCCCAAATTTTGATGGCAAGCCCAGTCACAAACGCAAACCCAATGCCACAATGGTAATACGAGAAAATTGGGCGGTCACTAGCGGGATATTTCTTTGTAGAATGACAATGGATAATCATTGCATAATGATGATTAGCCATCCCCACTTTCAGGGTTATTGGTTATACATCACCGTACCTCTATTTGGGATATGGGTTATATGACACCCAAAATCGTTGGTTACTGGTTTGATTATCGTGTGATTCTCAGGTTTAGCAGCACATTGCCAATATTAGGGGATGGTGATCGTTCCAATCAATATCTATAAATATTAATAGTGGCCAATATACCCACAATAATCCACAATATATAAGGCTTCCAAGAATGGTATGGATGACCATGCCATACCATATATATATATTATATATGTGTGTGTATACATATATATATATATACACATATACATGCCAGAGTTTGACTATGGCACAAAATATCTTCTGACTAATCAGGAAAGCACTTAGCTTTGTCCAAAGACGGGTTGATTGGGTTACCTGCAGATTTTCGACATGTTTTGCCATGTTGGGGTTCTATGTTGGCCCCTCCTCCTGGTCTAATCCGCAAAATCCTCGCCGTATGAACCGTTCGAACCCCAAAGAGGAATAGAACAGTCAGAACACTCAACTTCAACAAAAATAGTGGTATAGTCACTGACCTTTCTATTTTTTTTTTAGTGGTTAACAATTGGGCAATTGTTTGATGGATATTCCGTAGGGTCCTGGTGCTCCGTGACAGGATCGTGGTGAACGACCAGAAGATGTGGACCGCCATCGCTGAGTCGAAGAACGAGACCTTGCAGTGCCCAGTGACAGTGCCTGTGCAGGATCAGATGGTGTGAACGGTGGGTGATTTTGGGCCAACGGTTTGATTTTCCGCAATCTCTTCTGGAGAAGAATGTCACATCGTACTAAAGGACGACATATGTATGTATATATATTATATGATATGTGTATGTATGTATGTGTGTGTTATATATGTTTTTTTGGGGGGAAGAAGGGGGGTGAAGGTTGGCCGTGACATGTGGACACCATGACAATTGGCTGAAAGTTGTTGAATCACTGAATTGAATGAAGAGTATTTTCAGGCCTTTTTTTGATGAAAGTTGATGAAAAAATATGGAACCCTCATCCCCGTTGCCTCCAAGGTGTCAGCCCCGGCCAGAGCAGAGCTGCCTGTTGCAGCACCAAAGCGAGCCATGGTGCTGCTGACCCGGCCACGGGCGAATCCAACGATGGAAAGTGAAGGTGATTCTGGCAACACTGGCAATATTGGCAACACTGGCAACACTGCTGCGCCGGAGACCGTGGTTTCAGGTGAGCCTGGTGAGACCGACATGAACGGCGCCCGTTTCGCTGTCGCAGCCCTGCAGGGCTTCTGGGAGAGTCAGCGCGACCCATCAGAGACCTATAGCGTGCATGGTTTGGACGTCACACGCAGCTTGGATGAAGGATGATAAAGGTACTTGAGTCGTGAATGCGAACCCCACAAAAATCTATTAGATTAGATGATTAGATTATAGATTCTATATTGTTTATACGCAAGTAGCCATCTGGATTATTTAGATTTTTGAAACGTACTGCGAGACATCTTGCTCTGTTGCACATACCTGGCTACGTAGTTCATGCATGCACCCAGACACAGAGCACTTGCGAGTTTCTGATTGGAAAAGATTGCTTGGGGTTCTACTTGGCAGGGGTAGGTATCAGGATTCAAAGTTTCTTTTGGGCTGGAGGACATGGAAAATCTGTCAGCTATACTCCGGTGACCCTGAAGCCATGAGTTGTCAGGTCACCAGTGGCAGAATTCCTCCATGCAAAAGCGACCCTTCAGCTTGCGCTGGAACCCTACTAAGAGGCCAGATGGTAGGTTGGGGCGGAGCCTGATGTGGATTCCGGATTCCCATCCATATAGTGGTTGGCATTGCTGATAGTAACTTTGTTCCACCAAAGATTGGATGGGGAAGGGCCACCAGCCAGTTTTTTTCAGATGCGGATGTTGTTCTTGGCAGCGGATCGTAACCACAGGAAACCACCAAACTGCGTCTGCGTTTGCAGCAAGTTTTCCCCATCTTCGCGGGCCTAGCCATACTCCGATCTTGCCCCCTGGAACTCCGTTGTGCGATGTTGTGGGATTGTAGATTTGGCCCCCCCAGCTGCCTTTCTTTCATGGACCCTTGGTATCCCCTGGTAACTGTTTGGGAAGATAACACTGGTTCAATCTGGTTCATAGTTACACATTTTGACCGTCTTGCAGACTCTAGTAGATTGCAGCCCTATTATAATGGTTATATATATATATATAAATGTTGTTGGAATCCGTTTTTCCACAGCATTGGCTGTGATAAGCCACTGTTGCATTTAGTTTATCACTTATATAATCACAATTTCCAGGGTTTCCCAAATGCCATCCCTCATCGAGGTGCTTGGAGTGGGGTAGCGGCAAATATTTCTTGCAAGCGCCCTCCGCACTGCCCATGATGGAAGCCGTTTGGCTAGCGCGCGACGGGGGGCGCGGCTTCGCGTGGCGGAGGTGCAGCGCAGGTGGGATGCAACTTACGACCTGGCTGGCTCCAAGGGGGAAGTTTACCAAGTCCAAGCCAATGCGCCCGGAGTTTTTAGACACCGTGTCTTTTCAAATGGCAATTTTAAGTGGAAATATGCGTGATTCACCAGATGGAATGGGGTACCATATTGGCAAGCCCAATCACCTCAGCTTCACAACCCAATAGCAGTCAGGGTTTCAGGGTTCTAGGGTTTCATGGTTCCATTCCAGTTTTGAGTGGCGTGATGCACCAGTCCCAGACGCAGAGATTGACACCCAATAAGCACTGCTGCTGGGAACTAGCTAGCCCTTTTTTCGCTGCAATACACCACCAACATGGAGGGTTTGATCAACAACAAAATATGGTCATATGGGTTGTCTACTCATGGTTGATCAGCATTTTCCTCATGGAGATTGCTATATTTTATGGGTATCCCAGCGGTATCCCAGGCACAGTAAGTTACAACCATGGCCATGGGTACCAAACAATGAGCAAGTGGGCTGATCACCCAATTCCACTATTAGGTCAATAGATCGAGTGTCGCTTGAAGCCAAGCTGTGCTGTTTGTCCCAGTTTGGGCTCCAGGCAAAGGAAAGGGCAAAGGTGGAAAGGGAAAATCTCGAGTTTCTTGGCTATTTTGTGAAAGGCGGACGCATTCAAGATTCTTCAACTATGTTTATGTTGACATCTTTTATGCCTGTTTGTTGGTCAATAGTTTTTTTGAGCTAGTTTCATGTCCCCATGTATATTGACACAACGCAGCAACATTCCATGCCCAGGGCGAAATCGGCGGCGAAAGGGACCATCCCAGTGAACGGGGTCATGCTGGTCCTACAAGATATTGATGCTGTGATGATTTCTGCTAGCTGGGACGATGATCCCAACATATCTCAACCATGCATGAATTGGTTCATCCATTTTCCGGTGTCACCTAAAGAAGTGTTGGGCCTTGAACCCGGCTACTGTAGAGACCGTCACGGTATTCCAATGAATCTGAGCTGAGCATCAAGTTGATATGATTCCAGTGATTCTGTTCGAAGTTTGTTGGTCAAACTTGATCAGTTTGGTGCTCCAGCCTATTGCAAGGTCACTGGTCATGTTATGCCATTCTTTTTGAAGGGGATTTGTACAGGTCTCACCCCTTGATGTGCGATCCGCACCCTTTCAATCTGTTAGTTGTATAGCATGTCCTGCTACCGGCATCTCCGTTTCAGGAGATTTCACTGGGCAAAGCCCTACATACTTGGTATTGCATTTTATATTAAAAGATTGGCAATCCCAGATCGGGCCATGGCGGCCATGTTTTTTGTCTCCGCCTGAACGGCCACAGGTTAAGGAGGATGATGGTGTTGCATCGCGGCTCAAGCACTGATGTGCTTCAGTTCAACTGTAGTAGCATCCCTCCCAAGCATGGTGAGGGCTTTGCTTGCAACTCGGCTTGAGTTGGTTGATGTAAAATCATGTAAACTAGAGAGCAACTTTTTAAACAGGGGCACCTGAAGCAAACCCCGGATGATTTGCTTTGCAAAGTGTATGCGTACATTTTCAGATGCTGATTTGCAATCATTTGCACATGGTTTCGACACATCTCACATATCTCACCCAAGTTTTCCTGCCATATCCAGATGTCACATGACCCACAATTCTTGACTTCCCTACCTAAATAATCCCTTCCTCCTAATACTAAACGTCCCCCCCCCTCCCCCCCTATTAATAAACACGGCAGGTAGTTTTTAGTATTAGGGTGGTATTTATTAGTAGGGAACCCTATTAGTAAAATTAAACCCTTAACAATAAAAACTATGTTTTCCGATCTCAAAATCAATTAAATTTTAAATTTCTTAATATAACGCAATTAAAATATTGCCAAAAATTGGATTTCGAAGCTTCCCCATATAAATTAAAAGCCCTAATATATAGAAAATTAAAACAAATCGGACGGACCCTAATAATAAGCACCCCGGGGTTGACTTTGGTATGGGGGGAGAAACCCACAAATGATAGCTTTATTCTTAAATTGTTTTCTAAAGGGGAACAATTAAAAGTCAAATTGGCCAATCTGAAATTTTCCAAAATTGGAGATGGACACTAGTTTTTAGTATGTGGGCGGGGTTTAGTAATAGGAGGAGGGGATTATCTTAGCTTGCAATAGGATGAATAGGATGATCCTGGTTCAGCACATCTACAACTTACAAGGGATCCTCAAGATGGCCACCACTTCTGAGTCCAGATTTTATACTTCTTTCACAGGCAATTTTCCATCATTTTCCTATGCATTTCTCTTATGAAATCCGTTTGATCTCGGCAAGGCTGGTCTGCTCCTGGTGGACTTCGCTACTGCACTCACGACCAAACTCACGGCATGCACCTGCAGCTGCTGTGAAGCGGGTCAGCAATCCTTCCTCCGTGGCAGTTCAGTGGTGTGCACGCCACTCTTCACCATCGCCGTACCATGGAGATGATGGTCTCCCCCTTTTTGCTGATTTGTTTTGGTGATGAGTTTAATATTGTTTGATTGCTTATGCTTAGTTCCGGGGAGTTTCGGTGTTCGAAGTTTGAGATTTTTGAGGACAGTTGTTTTTTCTCACTGGACAGTCCACCAAATGCTGGAGTTTTTACTACTTGTTTCGGTGCCGTTCCGTTTTCGATTCGATGCGTCACTTGGTTTTTCCACACAAAAAGATCCGGCCACTAGCGAAATCAGCAAACAACATGTTAAGGTGGTGACTGGTTTGGCAACTAATATGTTTCAAAGTGGCAAATCACCAAAAATAAAAAAACTGAGTAATCATGTACAATCTAGGAATATGATGCGATACCACATGATATGACAAAACAATGGAGAAGATATTTTTCTGACTGACGCATCACAGATAGATCCATCACAACCTAGAAAAAGATAGAGAATTAAGATCCTACTGAAGTAGAAATGTGATGGTACTTTCCGTTGTGTTTGATCTTCTTGGAGATTTCTGTGGAAGATATGCCCCACAGATTTCGGTTTAGGCCTCCAGCTGCCCGGGGGAATGCAACGACCTCCAAGCCGCCACGGCCATGGCGCTGCACCATGCGGAGCTCAGCGATGTCTCGGAAAGTGCCACGGACTACGCGCGGTTCTGCCTGCAGAGTTGTAGCCCACCCACGGCCAAGCAGAGCTTGTGCCTGGGATCTGGGGAAACTGGGAGAAAATGTGGGAAAAACATGAAAAAAGCGGTTGAAGAAGCGTTGTAAACAGCGGTTTCAAATTCGGAACTATTTGACAAATATGCTGTGGAGCTTATACCTTGGGCAAAGCTGGGTGAAAGGCTGGTCAATGGGCCATGTTTGAGCCATGGGAGTAAGATCTGCTTGGTTTCAAACGTTGTTGGTTTCCATCCTTATGTGGAAAACCATCAGCCAGTACTCAGTACAACCCATTCTGGTTGAGAATCTAAACTGGGCCTGCAGAGGAATTCCACTCACAAGGGGGATGTAGTCAATTCAGGTGCCTGTTTCTGCTTTGGGTGTTGGGGGCCAGGATGTTCAAGCAGTTTCACTTGAGTTTTAAACAGTACTATTAGGATGGACAGAATTTGCTCAAAGTATCTCAAAAGAATCTAAGGACATCTAAGGACCATGTTAGCAAAGGGCCACTTCCCTCCGTTTTCGATAGTGATTAACCCAAATAGCAGTCATTTAAAAAAGTCTCGGGGTACAGATGTATGCATACATGCACATATTACAATACACACATCATGTTTGACACCATAGAATACACATGAATTGAATCCATACAAATCTATACCTCTCCCGTTTATTGCATCTAACTACTCTCTCTCTCTCTATTTATATATATATATATTTATATATATATTATATATATATGACTTACATCTCCGCATCCCTTGCTGCGGAGGTGCACCCCCAGCATGCCACTGCCTTTGGAGTCCTCGCTGCTGATCGAAGGTGCGCTGCCCGCCGCCCCAGCGCCCGCGCCTGCCATGGCACCGTTGGCCGCGGCGCCGGCGAGCGCGGAGACCGGGACGCAGGTGGCGCAGGCAGAGGGAAGCTTGGCGAAAGGTTGCCGCCTGGGGCTTTGGGGGATTTTGGGGCCATGAAATCTGGAAGAAAATGGCTTGAAAATGGGCCATGAATCTGGCGAGAATTGGCTTGAATGCTTGGAAAATGACATTGATTGAGGAAGAATTCTTTATCTTTATCAGCACTTGGAGGTTCACCGGCAAGCAAAATCTCGTCTTTATGGACTTAATAGTTAAACTTCGATCTACGCACAGAAATCCGTGGCTCAGTCTTATTGACCCTCCGTATCAGTATCAGGTCCATTTGCAGGACCGCGCCGGTACCTCATGCTGTGTCGTCAACCAGTATACCCATTTTCTATCCATCATCTCCCTCTCTGCTTTTGGAATTTGTTTTCTCATGTGTTCTCCGTCTTTCTTGGTCGTTTTGTTTTCGCATTAACTGGTCGGCACCCACTGTCCCAAAAAAATGCTTGTCTGAACCCATATTCAACCCCCAAACCTCTGAATAGAAATTATAGTATTATTGTCATGTATATATTCACAAATGTCAGGCGAATTCCCTCAAGTTGCGCAAAAAAAACATGTAGATGGTGAAACTCCATTTCTGGACAATGATACTTGGGTGATTTGCCATTTTTATTGTGTTCTTTGGAGTGTTTTGGTTACCGAACATCGATTCAATGGGAATTTCAGGATCCTAAAATGGAGGTACTGTACCATTTAAGATCATATAAGATCATATTTTGTTGGGATATTCCCTTACATAGGCCTTATATAGGCCTTATACATGGTAGGTACCTCCAATTTAGGATCCTGAAATTCCCATTGATCGATGAAGATCCGAGATCGCCATGGCCACGAGGTCAGAAGGCCTTCGCCATGACACTGGAGGCCAAGGTGGCTCAGGCGGAGGCCATGGCGGCCGCGGCCGAGGCGCCACCTGGTGAGAAGAGATGGCAGCGCTGGTGCCTATACCACTCTTACATATTTATATAATCATATGTATGTGTGTAACATATTTTAAAAATCATGCTGATTTATATACTACACACACACATATATATATATATATATGTATATATATATATATATGTGTGTGTGTGTGTGCGTGTGTGTGTGTGTGTGTGTGATTCATTTGATGGTGATTTGGCGTGATTTCGAATCACAATTTATTTCCATATTTTTTGGATGGGGTGAAACCTCCAACGACACAGAAATTACCAAAGAGTAATTAGATGTAATTAGGTGTATGAACCGGGTTTTTGAGGAGAACAAAATCGAGAAACTGGACGTGACACCATGCACTGATCAAAAGATGAAAGCAGTTTTTGCTTGATTAAATCCGCATCTGGGTTCCCAGATCCAACTTGTCATGGCAAAACTGTAAACCCAACATATGCGGCCAAGGAAGGCCACAGCGAACCTGGAGCTGGCGCAGTCCCGTGGCACCTTGGCTGAGGAAATCACCACGGAGCTGAAGGAGTCCGCAGCCCGGACCGGCGTCTACGCGCAGAGCGCGGCGGAAGCGGTCGCTGGGAGCGGTAGGTTTTTACGGGCTGGGAGGTGGTACATGCTACACCCAAAAAATGTTTGAGAAAACTTGGGGGACATAGAAATGCCAAAAAAAAATTGGAGTATCAGATTGGTATGCTTGGTTAAGATCCTGGCCATGCAAGAGCTGTTGGGAGCTGGATGGGACATAATGAAACATCCCCAGGAAATGGGGAGCTCAGGACCCGTAAAAACTCTCCAAATCAACGTGGTTTCACCATGTTTCACCTCTTACGAGATATAATGGGGTGTAGAAATATGTAACTATAAATCTAATTATTTGCAACTTCCAGGGATGATTGGAGGAGTTGTAGGGGTTACATGCTGAAGTTTATCAAAGGTTCCAAAAATAACATGACTGCGGAGATGCTGCACCCCCTGAAAGTGAAGGATGCCACTCCGACCTTAGGTGAAGAAAGCCGAGCAGGAACTGAAAGAGATCCAGGATTGTGTTTTTTTTCAGGGAATTTCTCAGCATCAAATTTAGCTCATTGAATCTGCGAATCTTGTCTGGTTGGTGGTTTGGCGCATTTTTTGTTTTTCCATATATGGGGAATAACATGGAATAACCATCCCAACTGACATATATTGGGACATTATTAATCAGTTTTACACTCATATAGTTTCATGCTTCATGATGCTCAACGGCAGGAGGCCCCGCGGATGGCCGGTCAAGAGGCCACCAAGGTGGCGATTCGACAGCTGCAACAGCCACTCGACGTCTCGATGCCCGCCCTGCGAGGGCTTAGGCTGTTAATGGTATTTTTTGTTATGGCAGGAACATGCTATGTATAGTATATATATATATGCTATATAATTATAAGTTATACTACTTGTTTTACTTGAAATTATGCACCTAGTAATATAATGCAATATAATGTATCATAATGTAATATAATGTAATATAATATATAATAATCTAATAACAATGTATTATAATGTAATATAATGTAATACAATGTAATATAATGTAATATAATGTAATATAATGTAATACAATGTACTATAATGTAGTATAATGTAATATAATGTAATATATCTATTTGTAACATTTGATTCAGATGATCACTTATTATATTGGAGAGTTGGCTTAGCTAAGGCCGCAATTAGCCTCTGTAAATCTTCGTCCCTTGGTTGTGTAGCTTCGTTCAATATTTAACCACAGGGGAGATATAAAATTCATCCAACAAGTGTTCTTTTTTGTTGAAAGATGAGCAGTTGAGGTGCACCATCATACCTGGCTGGTAGTTTCGGAATCCGTTAGCTTTTGCCACCTGACTAGCACATCTTGTGGAATCTTTGGGATGGTAGTGTGAGCCAATACCCATGTCATCCCATGTCATCCCATTTTTCCACCAGGCAAGAGGATATGAACCAAAAAGTGCTCGAGAATTTCCAGGCGGTCCAAGTGGTTAGCCATGGGGGGGGGACCCAGTTTCTTTGCATTCACAGTCTATGAGATTCCGTCTATGTGGGTGATGTTTTGCATACAAACATACTTATACACATACGTATATGTATATATCTGATGCATTTATGTAATATATATAAATAATATATAAATAATATATATATAATATATATATATAATATATATATAATTTTAAAAGTTATGTACGTATATGTATATGTATATGTGTGTGTGTGCAAATTTATACACATTCATACACACATATACACAGCGTATGCATATCATTGGAGGCCCATGCGACAGCAACTCAGCCACCCAGCGCAGCGGCCGCCAACCAAGCTGCTGAGCCCTACAACGCAGCGATCCGAGAGGCACAAAGGAAGCAAACCCTCTACGAAACCTGCAGAAAATGCGGATTTTTATCGTGTCTTCATGGGGATGTCACCATAAAATGGTGATTTCATGGGATTTTTCACCACTAGAAATGGGGATTCCGTGGGGATTTCAGCATCAATAATAGGGAAATTCGCCAAGCCACAGGATGCAGGAAGTTAATTTTTGCAGTCTGGTTACGTGGTTGGGGGTTGTTATAACTATAAACAAAGTGTCGGCTTGAAGGATCTTAAAAGTATTTTGCAAGCTAAGAAATGATGAAAATTGTTGAAAATGGCTACTGGCCAAAATATGCCAGCATGGAATTATAGAATTTATAGAAGAGACCTAAAAGATTCTATAATTATATAGCAAATTGGACAGATCAAGACGATGGGATGACAATATGATATATAAAATGCCGAAATGCCTTGATTTACCTGGGTCAAAGTCCAACTATATTGCGCGGGCAGAGCCAAAAAGTTGTGGTGGTGATACAGGAAGTCTAGCTGATTGTCACCCATAAGTATCCCTGAAGCAACCTGGCAACCGGTGTGCAGTGAGCCATCTAAAGATGACCAGATGCTACCAAGATTCCAATAATCAGGATATATCAGGATCCATGTTTGGAAAAAGACTTCAAGTCTTTAAATTGGACGCCAAAAATGAGTAGACACATTTAGAAGCTGCAGATTTACAAGAATTCTTCAGTTGTGGGCTTCACCTGGGATGATAACGATCCCCCACATCGCCAAAAACGCCGCACCGGTGCAGCTGAGGAATCCCAGGCATCGCAGTTGAGGGACCAGGCTGAGCAGTTGCAGGCGGGGGCTCAATCTATGGAGCATCAAGTCGAAGCTCGGCACGGCAGCTGGGTACAGGGTCTCATAGTTAGCTAAGTTGGTGCCAATAACTCCCATAACTATGGTTTATGGTAGATATAACTATAGTTAATGGGGTTTATAAACCAACAAACATCACTGGGGGGCACCATCCTGTGACTCTGATGTTTGAAAGTGAAAAGATCGGTTTTCGGATCCAGGAACTGTGGACAGGGGATAAAACGAATCTTTCTGGGGAAGCTGTAGCAACCATGAAAAAGTTGCAATAGAAGTCGTAGCCATGAATCATGAACAAGCGGAAAACAAACCAGAATTGATTGTGGTTCAATGGTGGAAGTGTCCACTAAACCCCATTATATATATATATTTAAATCCCATTAAATCACCATGAAATCACCATTTTTGCTGGGAATCCCCATGGTATCGATGTAGTTTTGCGGGTTACTTCCATGGCTTTCAGGACGTCTACGCCAGCAACCCGGACTTGGCCAAAGTCATCAAGGCGCAGTCGCACGACTTGTTGGTGAAGTCCCTCGAGAAGGCCTGGGCCCCGTGGTGATGGAAAAATTGTTGAAACATGACGAAACCCCATGCAACTAATTATAGGTAGTTGCAAGTACCATAAACCATATATAGTGAAATTGGAGTTATGTTCACCAACTTTGCTATCGTTTGGGGGCGCATATGGTAGAATCCCCCAATTTAATATCAAGTTATGGCGACTTTGAAGATGTAAAGTGATATATATATACATATATATATATGTATGCTGATGATGGGGATAATGACTTAGCGACACAGCCAAATGAAGCAAAAACACTTCGATCATCCCAGGAATAAATGCTTGAAGTCAATTCTCACACACAGCAATTACCATGATCCAAAGGACCGAGTTTTTGCCACTGACACTTGGGGATTTGAATATTTATGCGCGTATTGCTGACGGGTAAATTAGTGTAAATCATGGTGGACCCTGCCTATGTGGGCATTTCTCCGATGCACGTGCCACCCCCAGCAACATTTGCTGGTTTCAGCTTTGGCTTATGTTCCATCCTCGTAGTCAGTCGTTTTTTTTTTTACTCTTCCTATCTAGTGTACCAACTTGAGCTTGAGGGATTTTAATTCCTTCAGATAAGGTGATAGATTTTTATCATGATGATACAATACACACACACACACATTGTTTTACCACTTGAGCAGCGATCCAGGAGACCGCGGCTGAGGAAGCCATGGACGAGGCACGGCGAGTAGGACAGGCGGTTCCCAAATACACCACCCAGGCGAACGCGGCTGTGGCACGCGCCTCGAGACTCGGTGGCGAGGTGGTGATGGGGCCGTTTTGAATGGGAAATTCTCAGGAAAATCATGGGAACATGTGGCTAACCATTGCTTTTACATGGTTTTTTATTGTGATTTAAACAACAAACGGGTGGACATGGCGATATCATGCGGGCAAAATGGGTGATATTTCATGGAATATTGTCAGGTCTACGGGTTTTATATAGTAATACATGTTAAACCCTCTGTCATCGGGAAATCCCCGAACTAAAATATAGGCAAGTGGTCAAGTGGAACGTGGGGGGAACACAGATGGGTTTTTTTAGGTGACTGGTGGAAGATCTACCCTCTAGTATCCCTCTAGTAAGTTCACCTAGCTATGGAAAATCATCATTTTGTTTATGTAAAGAAACTATATTTGGGATAATTTCCATAGCTAGGGCAGCTAGGTTAGTTTACTGGGGGATACTCATCTACAGGGAGCATACATCGATTTTGATTCTGGATTTTTTTTTTGAAAGGTCCGGCTGCCGAAGCATCCAGCAAGGATCATGGGTTCCACGAAATGGATGCCTCCCAGCTTAGCCGTGCCAGCCGGTTTGGCTCCCGCTCCGGCAATGGCCCCCGCACCAGCAGCCTAACTTTACCAGCTGCTCGCGTGAAAAAAAATGTTTGCTCCGGCTTTGCATGTTTGGGATTTGTGAGTATTTTTGTTGATTAGTGTTTTCGTTTGGTTCGCCATTTGTGTTCTTTTGGGGCTAGTTGCCCAGACTGGGTGATTGACAACCCAGTATACTTGCGAAATCTCGCTAATACTCATTGGATCCTTTGGTAGAGTTTTGCTTTGATGATGGCAAGAGGAACGACCCAAGATGGACACCTTGTCCAATATGAGTGTTACATGTGTGTATCTATTTGTGTGTCAGTGTAGCCAGTTTGGATCACCACCTTTTAAGGTTTTGTTTTTGTCCGGCCTAATCGGGTGGTTATTGCGTGAAGCAACACATCTCATTCACCTACTTTGGAGACAGCACGGCAATGCTGCAAGAGGCATCCGGACCGCAAAATCTGGAGGGACGCTTGCATTTGGAAGCACATATTCGTGTTTAGCAGCTTATCATGTTTTGTTGATATTAATTATATACTGTAGATGATATTAGATTAGTTCAATCCCTACTGAAGGCAATGTGTGTCCCAAAATCCCATGGATTGGACTCAGATTCTGCCCAGGCCCTGTTCCAAGCTCCGCACCCGTCGCTTTTCAGCGTTACCACTTTCCATAGCACGACTCAAACACCGCAACATCCCAAGAGGTTGAGGCTTGTCATCAGTCCAACAGATCCCTGCGACCCACAACAGATTTCTTGGGGCGTGTGCTTGCCCGAGATCATGGAGGCCCGGCTCGCTTTGCCGTGAGGGTTGAAGCGGGTGATATGACTGGGTGTATATCAACTGCTGGTTGTTTCAATTTGTACCCCTTGGTAATTCGACATGGCTATGGAAAATTGCCCATAGATGATTTGCCTATTGAGAATGGTGATGTTCCAATATGTCCCATAGTTTTTTCAAAAAATAATACCAGATGGTAAGAACATATAATAACTTCATCCCCGAACAAAGAAATGGTTTTGAAAACATGGCCATGGTGATATAAGATGATACAACATCTGGTCAACCTTGCTTCGATACTTTGCCATCAATGCTAAACAATGCTAAAATGTACTAACCAGCTTTAAAAACTGGTTCGGTAGGTACTAGTATCTAAAATTCATCATGATCATGGTATGACATGATATTTCACAATATTTCACATGATATAACCCTATAGAATCAGTATATAACCAGTATATAACCAGTATATCTAACCCACTGGTTGTTTCAATTGATAGCCCTCCGTCGCCAGGTGAGTGCTGCCGGATCCCTCGGATCCCTCTCGGTGAGAGCCAGGAGTGCAATTGGCTAGTCGTCAACTGGGGGATTTTTTTGGAATCCAATTGGATAGTTGGCTAAGTCTAGAGGAATCCAGTTCAAAGTATCCAATTCTGAAGATTGGAGGATTCATTTGGATAGAATTGGCCATAATTAATTGTGTTGGTTTCAAATATTGTGAACATTGATATTCATTCAACATGTTTAAGATGGTTGGTGACATCAATTCATTTCCCGCTATCGTCCTTGTGGAGGCTGATCAGCAAGTCATGCGGATCACCATCAGCTAGGGACCCACCAGCCAGGAAGAACAGAAAAAATGAACAATCAGAATGATAAGCGACCTTAGTAGACATGAATAATATCATGAGTAGATACTTAACTTATATCATTTAACTTATTACGTGTTTCATGCTTAAGTTGAAGTCCTTTCTTAGCATCGTGCATGTTGAAAGTTGTGTGCATCGAAGGCCAGGCACAGGCAACATCATTCTCATTTGTTAGGATATATGTTATCCCATGTTATCCCCACCCCCAGTTGGTAAATCCCCCCATATCCCCCCCATTTGTGCTCGGTGAATCCATGTAAATCCGCCATTTCCACCGCTGGCAGGGCAGGCAGCCAGATCCAGGTTAAGGCCAGGGGGAAAACAAATCCCCGGCCAATGGCGTGAAGAAAATGTGTTTGGACTTGATATTTGTGGGAAAACAATATGGAAAACCCTCCAATTAATTTGATTTGATGTTGGCATCAGTTTGATGTAAATGAATATTGATGGATATCAATGGTGGTAATTTTGGGGAGTTATTGAACAACGTAGATAGATCATAGATCTGACAACTTAATGGTGGTATCAGTGAGAATCCGTGTGATGTGGTAAACCTAGTATAGCAATAAACCATCGCCAAGTCATCACCAAAAATGGGTTCTATAAAACATTACCCAAATGGTAGGTTTATTATTGGGTGTCCAGCACTAGTTACTCTACATGGGGACTGCCAACCCCTGAGGTTTCCAGTGCTCCTTCGAAGCGGGTCGCGTTTGGGGGAGGCACTACTTCGAAAAGCACGGCTGCCAAGATGATGACCCCTCCTTTTCCATGGTTTAAGGCACCCTTTTGATGGGTGAAACCATGTGAAACCATGTGAAACCATGTGAAACCATGTGAAACCCTCCGGTTCTGGCTGGGCATCAGCTCAAAATTAGTTTGATGCCTCGTTTTTGCTGTTTGGTGACTAATCAATTTGTGTGATTCTGCGGCCTGGTGCATTGTCACTGGGGAATTATGTTTTACTTGTGAAAAATAATCAGGTCTACCTGGCACTTCAGGTTGTGACCATGTTGGGGCAGTTGAATGGCAGTTCGTTGTGATCACAACTCCCCAGGAGATCTTCGGGGAGCGTTTTCCACCTTCGTCATCCCAGTCACGGTGACTGTAAGTTCCCAATCGACCCCCCTTGACGTACACTTGGGTTAGATTACATTAATTTGCAAACATTTCTGTTGTGTGGTAGCGTGTCCAAATATCTCTGCAGCATATCAAATCCGAATTCTTGCCGTTCAAGCAGGGCTGCTCCCAACACCCCGGTCACCCCAGATACAAGGGGTGAGCAAGGTCAATAAATGAGATTTTTCCATATTTTTCCTCCATTGAGGCTGTGATTCACCTATCATCACCTGTTATTTGTTGGAGCAACACCAAATTTTTACCTAACAAATCGTAACTGGACCAGATTTTGTTTCAGCCCGGTTGCCCAGTTCCGCTTGGCGGCCTGGGACTGGTCGCAGCTGTGGGAACTCGTCGTTGGAGAAGGCCCCAGAAGGTCTGGAAGCCCAGCATCGCTTGGCAAATCTTAGCAACGAACCGATAGAAATTGCGAGTTCACTGGATATTGTAAAATGTAAAACCTATGAAAAATCTCCAACATTGGGAAGTGAGCAAAGTTAGCAACAAGTTTCCCGCCTGATGGTATTCTCGGCTCAAGCACAATCACGGCATTCCACGGCTCAATGTAGCCAGTTTCAGTACTTCCTAGCTGCCGGAACCGCAACGGCAAGGCCATTCCCCGACGGCTTTGGGGACTTTCATCAGTTTCTTAAACCAGTGCATTGCACGTTCAGAGGCGCAGTGGCTATTCGCAACGGTCTTGGAACATATTGTGGAACCATTTCCTACGGAGATGTCATTACCATAGCATTCATGGTGCCGGCACCGAGGTCAACGTTTGCCAGGAATGCAGGTCAATACACAAAGTACGAAAGTACGGTGTAAACTTGGGTTATTACCTGTATATACCTGTATAAGAATTGTATAAGCAGGTCAATTCAAAATGCAGGTTTCTTAACCAGCTACACTAAATTTCCTGGAATCACATTGAATCATTCTGGATCCATGCTTTCCCAACAGTTTCAACAGGTCGTCCCACCATTCGGTAGCAGCACTATGAAATCTAGGAAGCTGTAGCTAGGTAGATATCTCCCTTAAATGATCCCCAGAAGGTAACTTCTGTACCTTTCTTGGTTGCTGCCTGCTTGAAGGTCACATGGCGATCGCCAACAGTGGGCCGGGCACCCAAAAAATGTCAGATACAACAGGTGGATCAGCGGTGACTTTTCTTGTCAGGTGTTGCAGATTTTGATGTAAAGGATTGACAATAAACCATAGGGGTCGACATCCACTGGTTCAATATAGAGACAGACTGGATGATCCCAAGCTGATGTCCAGTGACTCAGATGAGTTGAAGGTTTAGCTTTCACTATGAAAGTCCATCTGAAATGTAACAATTCACGTCATTTCACGTCGCTGGGCTGTAAAACTCATGAAAAACTCTATAATTCTTGGCAAAATCCCCATGAATCCCCATAAATCCCCAAACATCGCCCATTTCTGCTGGTAAAAATCACCAGAAATCCCCCAGCTTCGTTGCTACCGCCGCGTTTCAAAACGGTCACCCAGGGCGGTGCCGTTCGATGATGACTTGGATGGCAACCTGGACATTGACCCCGATGACATCACCGAGGCAGAATTTTCTGGGGGAATCATGGGATGTCAGTTATATGATCCTTTATTATATATATAATATCATATATATATATGATATCTATATATATATACTATATCTCTGTATTTATATATATATTATACTTATTATCTATATATATATATGCTCTATATATATATACACTATATCTCTATATGTATATATTATATCATATCTAAAAATAGATGCTATATCTCTATTTATGTTTATATTTATAGATAATATATATATATATATTTATATTATCTCCATATATATATAATCTCCATATATATATATTTATATATATATACATATTATCTCAATATATTATATATACTATTTCTTTATATGTATATATATATATATGTATATATATATATTGTATCTATATATATGTATATTATCTATATAATATATATATATATACTATATCTATACATATTATTTCTATTTTTATATCTATATTATCTAAATATATATATATATATTAACTATATTTTCTTTATATGTTATATATATATACTATATCTCTATTTATTAATATATACATTATATATGTATATATTTTACCTATATATAGATTATATCTACATATATTTATATATACATATTATATATATATTGATTATATACATATATATATATTATATCATTTTTATTATCTATATGTATAATATCTACTGAAATTTATTTATATATGTATATTGTATCTATATATATATTTATTATATAAATATATATTTTGTTTTCTTTATATGTATATATAATTATATATATATATATGATCTATACATATGTATATTATATCTTTACATATATATATATATGTATTATTTATTTATATATATTATTTCTATATATATATATATTATATCTACATATTACATATATATTATCGATTTCTATATATATATATATGTAATTATATTATTTTTCTGTGTGTGTATATTATATCTATCTATTTACATATTCAATATATATATATAGATTATAGCTATATCGGCATAATATATATTTATATATACATCATATTTATATTTATATATATCATATCTATATATATACTATATCTATATCTATATTCATATTTATTTATTTTTTTTATATGTATAATATATATATGTATGCTATCTATATGTATATATATATATATTTGTGTGTGTGTGTGTCTTTCTCTCTTTCTCTCTCTCTCTCTCTCCCTCTATATATGTATATAGTGAACGTTCCATAAAAAGTGAGTAATTTGAAATGTTTGCTTCAAGTTTTCTGATGACTATTCATGATGTATATCACTTAGTAATCATGGGATATCTATAGGTTACAAGGGTAAAATATGCGATTACACCCGCAAACATGAGCCACATGGGCCACATGGCGATTTAGCCAACGAATGTCAACAATATGATTGGTAAAATGGGATTATTTAACCAGAAACCATGGGGATTATTTAACCAGCAAGCATTCTGGAGTTTATGGGGTTTATGGGATTTCATCGTCGAAATATTAGAAGACGGACGATCTTATGAGGATAGAATGGGATATAGATGCTGGATAATGACCAACAATGAGCATGGAACCCCATTAATATCCATATGGCGGGTGTAAATGTTGTTGCCGAGGCCGCAACACGCAACAAACAGTTTTTATCAGTTTTCATGTTTTTCTTGGATGGGTAATAAAGGCGTACATAATTAATAATAAACCAGCAAGAAGGGGGAGTAACCAAGGTTCTAGTGATCATAAGGGTGATCACCTAAATGGCCTTGCAGGTTGGTGAAGTATTGTGATTTATCAAGCTTAAATAGGAGATCGGAGACCAGCAAATCCTAGCAAAAGATCGAGTTTTACAACCATGGGTCTGGAGAGAGAACCATGGATCTTAACTTAACATCAAATGCATACCTAGGCAGCCATAAGTATGCATAATTTTTGTATTTGTTTGGAAAACCGTGTTTTTGCGACCAAATACATTTTTTGATACATTTTCAGAAACAAAACCGTTTTTTTAATATTTTTATATTTTGAGTACGCTGGACATTGTTTGCTTGTTCGGCCGTTTGGGCCGTCATGAAGCAAGGGAATAAATAAGACTTAATGGGAAAGAATCATTTGCGCCAGAATTTCCGCAAGTGTCACTACTCCATGATGCATCCCATCACAAAATCTTGTAATGGGGCATTGTGGTTTGCACTCACCTGGAATTGGTTGGGTGGTTAAAGCAACCTGTGGCATGGCTTTGCAGCCGTGTTGATGGGTGAATTCCATTTTTTGAACACAATCGCGCCAAAAACAAAAGCGGAAATTCCCGGAACAAACACGGAAATTTGCGGAACAAACGCGGAAATTCACGGAATGGAGTCCAATGTGGTTTTTGGTTTTGATCCGCGCTGCTTCGGGCCATTTGTTGGCACTGACATGTTGCATTTATACCCCAAGTGTTGTACATTCGTCATGTTTCAGTAGATCTTGGTTGCCTAGCTCTTTTTCTTCAGATTTGATGGCGGTGCAAGTGGAAACCCTCGTGAGCTGAAACTCTGTCAGAACCAAAACCGTTTTACACCCTATTAGAGACACTGAAAGTCCCTTAGCTACCAAAACTAGCGCTTACCCAAAGGAAAACAAACAAATACGTTTTTGCCTCAACAAATACCGAGTACAAAATATTTACAACCTTGAGATTTCCAGGTAATAATATATACAACAATAACCCAGTAATAACCCATCAATGGTGGATCTCCATGGCGAGATCAACGTTTTTTCCAAGGATGTTGAAGGTCCAACCAGCATGATTCCGCTGGCAAGCCACTCGCCCGTCACATTTCAATGTCATTGAATTCCCTACCCAACCTATCCAACCTATCCAACCTATCCAACCTATCCAACCTATCCAACCTATCCGACCTATCCGAATCCGATTCAAATCATTCAACTGGCTGTGTCTAAAAACGGGATATTAAATATATCTGAGAAGATGATGTTGCATCATCTAGTGGAATTCAGTCAGGTAGCAAAAGAAGTCCAGACAGACTCAAGTTATGGAGGTTTCCTAAAATGGGTGTACCCCCAAATCATCTAGACCATGACTTAGTATTTTTCCATGGTGACTTACGGGGGATCCAAACGACTTATATAAACTCATTCGAATCCCTCCCATTTTCCACAAGAAATCCTATGAAATCACCATGTCATGGCCGTAACATGAACCCTCCAGTGGCCATGGCCGTCATGGCCCATGGCCCAGGTGGAAATGGCCCGACAGAAGATCAAGCAGCTGATGCACGAGCAGGAGCGTGCGGCGGATTACGAGGATCGACTCACGAGGCGCGACGGTCAAAAAAGTACCGGTTGGCGACGTGACATAGACCGGATGAGCGCGGTGATTGTATAACATGTTATAATCATATAGACTATAGGATACATTGTTTAGAATAGATTTAAATATATTTAATGTAAAATAATACATAAATAAATATTATAATTTACTATAACATCATATGATATAATATAATATAATATGATATGATATGATATAATATAGTATAATATAATATAATATAAGATTATAATATATGATATATGATATATATATATACATACAATATAACACCTGGACCCTTGAAAAAGCAACTATATTTACGCAACCTACCACTTGTATCCAGGTATATCTATATAGCATGTTGAAGCTGTTCTTTTTGCCAAGGGGCAGGGCCTTGGATCGTTGGAAATGGGATGATGGTAGCAGGTTCTGTGCATAGGTTTCTGGTGTCATCTTGGCTTGGGAACCCAGGGAAAATCGGGCTGTTCTTCCAATTGCAGCAACCACTTTGGCGAGAAACGTATAATAACTGTCAATAAATGCTCTATTTTCGACCCTGTTAGGATAAACATCCGAACTGACCATCTATTCTCTGGGAGAAAAACGACCAACTTCAACCTTCAACCCAGCTGACGGTCCAACGGCCAGGAAACTCCAGAGACTGGATGCAGATCTGGCATCCAAGAGGGAGCAGGTGGAAGGCTTGCAAAGGACTCAATGTCTTCGGGCTTTGAAACTAGGAAAGGAAAGCTGAGCAGCTTCAATTTAGTTAACAAGCTTTCGATATGCATATATTTGTTCAATGATATAAAATCCATGCATACATGTGCGTAATGTGTGTATATTATATATATATGTGTGTACACAAGTAATTCAATTACATTTCGGTAATACACCATACTATATAATACTATATAATACTGTATATATATATATATTTATAGATATAATATATGTATATATATATTATATCGCATGTTAACGTGTATGTGTGTATCTTTGGGTGCTTCGTTTTCAAAGGAGGAGCCAAAATTTGGTTTCTCTTTAGCCCAGGTCTTTCGCTGCGGATGTGATGTCACTGCATAGATCATAGATCTTGATCCATGGTTGGAAACATTGGCAAAATCCTTGGGAGAATACATATATAAATAAATAGGACAATATATTATGTAGGTTTAAATCCATTTGAACCATGTAAATCCACTTAACTCCTAGATTTGAGGTGGAACATAGACCTAGAGAGGGTCAGCGAATGGGATGCAACCTTTATATCATACACACCATATCCAGATTTGCGCCGCCTTCCAGGAGTCTGAACCTGGAACGCAACAAGTTTGCAGAGGACAGCACTCAGCGAAAATTCAACTAGAGTACGGAGAATCCTGGTTACAGCAAATGAAAGAAATGAAATACAGGTTGAAACAATGTAAACAACTGGACATGCATTTGCAATTCAATTGCGGCTTTTTCAATGTATTTAATTTCATGGAAAACATAATAATTTGATTGAATAAATGATTCCTTGCAATTAACAATCATGAAAAGAGATGAAGTACTGTCATTGCTTCGAGGTAACAGTCTCCATCAGTCTCCATAGGCCCGCCAATCCTTATTTTCGTGTGCAACCCATATTTCGAGGTCAAAAACATACCATCGCAATAGCGCGCAAAGTTTCATTCTTGAATCCAGACAGGTTTGTTTGGAAATGCGGTGCCCCGAATTTCAAAGGGTCACCATCATCAACAACAACATTCGAACCATCAACAACAGCATAAAACCATCAGCATCAGCATGAACATCATCATCAGCAGCAGCATCACACCATGTTCATCATCATATTGTCCATCATCATCACCACCACCACCACCATCATCATCATCATCATCATCATCGCCGCTTTCATTTTCATGGTCTTCTTCATATTCAACTTGATCATCTTTTTCTTCATAATATTATTCATCATTATCATAGTTTTCATTTTAATGTTATTATTAATATTCAATTTCATCTTCATCTTCATCATGTTCATCATCATATTCTAAATTTCTCCATTCTTAAAAATTGCACAAAGCTGCGATTTGGAGAGCAATAAACAACGCCCCCAAATCTCCATCAGCAACATTTCATGGCCCAGCCGCTCCAGGAGTACCGCAGCGAGAAGAGGGAGAGGGAAACCAAGGCGAAAACCCAGGAGGAGCGAATCAGAGAGTACTTGACCGAGGTACGCGGCGCTAGGGTTGGGCGTTGCCGGTGGCGGCATGGGGGATGCTGGGCCCTACAAGCCGGAGATGAAAAGGAATCCGAGTCGTCACGTCCAAGGCCAAGTTCAGAATAACTTCAGCAGTCGTGGGAATTTGCAACCTGAGTCCGGGGGATTAGATGATTTGGGACCATTTGCTGCTGAAATCAATTTGATATCCTTTGATTAATAGGGAAAACATGGTTTTAAGTGTTCACTGTAAAAATTGGCTGGAGGACCTATATAACCAATCCAATAATGTCTATGTTTGGCTGCGGCGGTTCTCGCCCAAAACCAGAAAGACGGGCCAATTCCCCTAACTTTGAATCCCCTAATTTGGTTTTCCAAATGAATAGATCCAATACTGAAACACCGGTATTGAGGAGTGTTTCGTGTCAGGAGGATATAGGATTAGTTGAATAAGTGCATTTTTCTTCGCCAGGGCGCCTTGATCTCGAAATCTCTTGAGCCAAACCGACGGAAATGAGACCATACCTGTTGGAATAACGACAGAAATACACCATCCAAAATCATTTTTGATGTGATATACCACAAGTTTTTAACAGGAATGAAGTAATGCCACCATCCAGGATGTCAATGAAAGACACCTCCACAGCCGACCAGCCAGGTGCTCTATACAAAGCCCAAGCAGAAGGAGAAACGCGGTGAATTCCACCTCGATACGGTCCTCGTGCGCCTTGGATCACCTAACGAGATGTCCTTAATGGGGTGATGCCGTGATGCAGCTTTATGGTTCGAACAAAATGACAGTCTCTGAGAAATATACTTTAACAGTAACATAATCATCATGCATATGTGTATATATATGTAGGCCATTATAGGCCTGTGCTTTGATTAGGGGCACTGGCTCTGCAACAAAAAAATGTTACTACACTATGCGCTGACTTTTTTCCCGGATGGAGTAGCACACCCAAATCCTGCTGCTTATGAGATCGTAGTCTGTGCTGAACATCCCCCAATGATACCGGCTTTGGGAAGCTTATCTACCTTCATAGTGAATTCAAGTGTTGGTACACCATCAACTGGATTGGCTGGCAAGTGTTCTTGTTGTGCTGCTGAAATCTCATCAAACTCCACCTTATAACAAGTACCAGATAGATCCAGATAGTACCTCTATGTACCTCTTATTGGCACATCTGGCACTAAGGTCATTTGTGAAGCCGAACGAAAGCTTCAGATACAACTTGGCCTTCAGGGTGGATTCAGGCCATCGGCTGTGGGTAGCTTTCTGAATCGTACAAGGGGTTGCCATTTTAAGACATGTTTTAATCTACCATACAGAAATGTAATTTAGTACAGTAAATTGATGTACATTGATATGTTGCTGGGTAAGGGTGGCCATGTTTTGAAGTTGTGAAGGTTTTCCCGCTAGCCTCAGCCACCTGGAGGAACGACCGTTGCCCAGCTTCGGAATAGCGCCTGCAAGTGCCCGCGACGATTTTTGGGAATTCACCTTGAAAAACTTGGGGATATGTTTTGATTTGATATGATATGATATGTATCCAGGAAATGCACCTATAATTGAGCAGTCTTCAGCATTTTTGTGGCGCTCATTTTGCCCTTAATTGATTTAACATGTTGTTGTTCTGTTCGGGATCTTGTGTATGTTCACCATCAAATCATATCAGACAGGTAAGGAAGTGGGTACCAGGTACCCCCTCTTCAGAACATACAACAGGTTACAACAATGATATGGCTGTCAAGCAGCTTCAATGGTCCTGGTGTGATGGAGACCCCGACTGCTTCATTGGAAATGCTGTCAGCGTCCCAGGTACTGGGGGGTCAGCTCCGAGTATTTCATCTTGCGGACCATGGCCAACAACAAGTGCCAGGCAGGGAGGGCGATACTTGAATGACTCTAGACTCTAGCGACCTAGTGGTTTTGATGGGAAACTTTGTAATTCGTAGTATATCCCCATGAAAATTGGAAGAGTATCTCAGATGATCTATATAATGCTTTCTCCATGTTCTGAGGGAATTCAGTGGAGGCTTGAATTAGTTCACGATGATGAGAACCTTAGGCTCCGACATGTAAACCCCCGGTCACACAGAAGTTGTTACTGGTGACGTTGCTAGCTACTTTCCAACAGTATCAGTGGCTTATCACTGCCTTATATTTGGCTGGTGGCTGCAAAATGTTTAATTATTTTATTGCTATATATTGCTATATATATATATGTTCCAGGCATATCTATTGGAATGATGACCACCGCATTATTCATGTTTTTGCAAGGGCAGTTTAAACCACAAACCAGTTTTTGCTGGGTATTTGGCAAGCTTCTCGAAGGGTGGTTTGAACGACATGGTGTGTCGGCACAAGATCTAAAAGCACATCCATGAGGACAGCATCATGGTTGGACAAGAGTTAGTTTTGAACTCACGTTGTCCTTGAATGAGATGTCCGATTGGTTGGAAACTGGACACTTTTGCAAATTCCAATGGCTGTACAGCTAGATTCTAAATGAAGCTGGCTAGATGAATGTCCCCACACCATGGATACTATGTGAGGGTCAGGTCCTCCAAATGAAATCCCAAGCTCCCGCACCGGTGCAGGATGATAACAAGGTGAAGGAGCGACCGGGCAGCCCCGGGCAGTGGGTGACATCCAGTGGAGCAGTAGTCTACAAGTAGCACCATTTGCACACAGTGTGACTATGAATGATGGCCAATAACCGGCATCAAACAGTGTTCAATAATAACTTATATATTATATGTTATATATTCTATATTATATATTGTATATTACATATTACATATAAATATGAATTATAATAATAAGGTTTAGGCGCTTTTGGAGCCAGGAGGGTGATTTTTTTGAGCCTCGTGTCGAAAGGGCAACGATGGCCTCATGTCACAGCCACTGACTGTCCCAATGATTATAATTATAGTCTATATAGTTTATGCTGTCGGTTTAATCCACATAATTGATCATAATTGATCATAATAGTTCATAATTGATCATAATAGATCATAATTGGTCATAATTAATCCACATAATTGATCATGATTGTTGGTGAATGCAAGTAAAGCACATGAAATTGAAGGGACAAACCATTGTCGAAAGATAAGGGTGTCATCCCCGAAGAGAGCTAAGCTTCCTCTCACAATGAAATCCCCATGAAGCATCCCAATGAAACAACCCAAGATTTTGTGAAATTAGAGTCAGAGCTCACAAACATATACACCGGCATTTGGACATTATATATATATATATATAGATCAGCTTCACATATTTATGCATCACATGATTATGTATGTGTAGGTGTGTGTGTGTGCATATAAAAGGTGGTGCTGCGTAGTTATGTGTCGTGGTTTGTTTCCAAGCAACTATAGCTTCTTTATTCCATATATAAACCCAGCAGTGAAGCGACTTAGTTGCACCAACTTAGCTAACGTTTTGGGACACCACCTTGTATCCATCACTATGCATCCAGTTTTCCCAGAAATGTTGGTTATATCAAGTTATATCTTCATGATAATATCCTGTTGTTGTTGGCGAATTCCAAATATATATATATATATATAATACCCAGTAAACATATATAAATATTCCAAGATTTCCCTATGTAGTTATTTGATGATTCACCCTAGTTAGTACGTGGGTTGCATCCCCAGCTTGTACCGACCGAGTAAACTGGCTAGTTTACCACCAAGTACTCATCAAGTATATGCTATACTCACCGGAATCATGGTAGGATTCGGGGAATCATCCCCAAATGGCCCAGCATTTCAGCTAGCTTAGTGAAATATCATGAAATATTAAAATTTACCCAGATAAATGGCTTAGTAACCACTATTAACCCTGGTCAGTACGTCCCCTAAGTGGGTGTATTTCATTCATAAATGGCTGAACTAAGCCCAGTTACCTTCCAGTAAACTAACACAACTACGGTTAACTATGGAAAATAATCATTTTCTCATTTGAAATCATCTACAGAGAGGTATATTTTCCATAGCTAATATTAGTTTACTAGAGGGTACCCCCTGGCACCATCTGGCACCAGGATTGTTTCAAGCAAGGGGAGATCGCGCAGCTGCGGCTGGAGATGAAACGCGAGAGCGCCGAGCCGCCCTCCGAGGAGGAGTTGAAGGCGGGCCGAACGCCGAACGCCGAGGGAGTTTCGGTGCTTCACCCTGGGAAAACCATGGAGTCTTACTAGTAAATTATTTACCTATCAACTGGTGCAGGATTTCTTCCATCCACAGTATCATACTCACCCGTTTTTACCATGATTATAACATATTATAACATATAATAATTAATTATTTATTTATTCATGTATGTACTTTTACTCTTAGTAAAATGATGTAAAATCAAGCCGTACTCTTCTGCACCTTTTTCGGATGATGTTTTTCGTTTTAAAGAACTGGGATTCTTAGCATCCTTTAACAGTTTGACTCTGAGAATCACTACTTTTCTTAGAGGAATGTAGAATGTAGTCTTCCAACAACTCATGGCAAGGCCACATTGTTTCGGGGGATGGCATGAACAGTCATAGTCTAATAAAAGCAATAGTAAGAGTATAGTATCTAGCCGTATGGTACAAGAAATAGATAGAAATAACACATTCCATGGTTTTATGTGAATTAAGACCAACAAAAACACTTCTATAATAGGCATTAGTGCAGAACTCGTCGTAAATCATGGGGGATACCAGGTGCCTCCCATGAACACACTCTGCTCTTTGTGGCAGCAAAGCTCAGTTGATGCAATTTGCGCTTGGCAAATTGCAGTATATTTCCCAGATTTTGCCTTTTTTTTAATAATTTCATCGATATTTGTATGTTTTTTTCCTCTTTGTGAATAGAAGGGAGGGGAAGTCCGGAAAACTCGCTCAGTTCCTGCTCAATTCCGTGCCCTTCACCATGACGGTTCCGCCTATTGTGAGGATACCCCGCAGCTTGCGGACCCTCCAGATCCATTGGTCCGAATCAAGAAGAACATGTGGTGTTTAGATGTGTTGGTTAGTCCAACTATGCTGTCTGGAAGGTCCTTATGGTCAGGTGCAGGACACTTGTGGAAAATTCATGGCGAGCCCTGTTCTATTTTCTCCCCTTCTTTTTCATCAAGATACCTATTGACTTTCCTACGTCTTTGGGGAGTAGGAATCTCCCCCTCGACCACCACTTTGGAATCTCCTTTTCGCAGGCAATTCAGCCCAAGAGCAAGAAGCGGACGCTCTGCTGAAGAAAGCTGTGTTGGTTGCCCTGCCTGGCTGCTTTTTTTAGATGTCCATTGGCATCCCACGTTTGTGTCAACTACATAGTTTGCTTTTTGCTGTATCCCTTCTTGGGACTTTGCACATGGTGGAATTGTGGGATTGTAGGAAGATCATCCGAACATTCGATGATGATGCGAACGAGGAATTGGTTTGCAACATGTTGCAACGCAAACCTATTAGTTACTAAGTAAATAAATGTAAAGTCAGTATTTGAATTGATGTGTCAACTATAAGTCTTAGCCAAGGCTGCCAACATCTCTTACCGGAACTACTTGATTTTGACATAGTCACAGAAGTACTGACTCACTGATATTCCCAACTGAGGGCGGGGAATCGAAGCAAGGGCAAGCCGCGATACAACGCGGAGGGTGTTTCTTTGGCGAAGGGACTTGTTGGGCGAGCTGGCCACTCAAACAGACCTATTTTGGGTTCCGGTTGGACAAAACCCATGGGCTGACTCAGGTTCACGGGCAGTACTTCTGTAGAATAGGAGCCCTAGGAGCCTTGATTAGTCTTGATTATAAGCATGACAGCATGACCGATTCAAACTGATGGCATCTGATGGCATTGCGTAGTCATGACATGGTATGATTTGTAACACGCGTGAGCCACTGGCACGAGCTCCGTTGGCTTCCAGCTTCGGTTTCGTCTGTGTATCCCTGGCTATCGATAGCGAGGTTGAGCAGATTCAGAAATTTGTGGAGAACTATGCCAATCAGTTGAAAAAGACACTTGGACACCTCACTTGGGCGTTTCGACAGTGGACATGATGAAGTGACTGGTGGCCTAACAAAACATGGTAAAACATGGGTTGTGTTGAAACTGTTTCAACCCAGGATGATATTGGTCCGTTCTGACCCGACCCGAGAAAGATTATCGTTGATTGTTATCAAGTGTGAATGCAAAATACATATAGGATATTGTCTTCAACATCAAGCACATGCCTATACATGCATATACATGCATATTATACATGCATATACATGCATATTATACATGCATATACATGCATATACATGCATATACATGCATATACATGCATATACATGCATATACATGCACACACACACATATATAATCATATATATATATATATATATATCCATGCATCCATGCATCCATGCATCCATGCATCCATGCAGCCATGCATCCATGCATCCATCCATCCATCCATCCATCCATCCATCCATCCATCCGGCAATGAAGGTTGATAGGAAACTCCTACAAACAAGATGATCCTTCCAGTGTGAACTGCCAGTGTTTCAGTGAAGGCCATGTCCAAATTACGTTTAAATTTGGTGGATTTCCATTCGCCGCTCCAGGATGGGCGGTGTGTTCTTTTTGCTGAAGCTTCGGGATAGCAAGCCATCGGAACATGCTGGCAAGATCAACCTTCGAAATATCCTCATCTACACTGCGCTGGCCGCCCGGCTGCTGGCGCGTTGCTTTGCTTGGGACTTGGGGATGACCTCCACAAAGAAGTTTCATAGTCTATAGATACTCTATTTCAGGAGACTACCCCGATTTTATAACACATGAAATGATGATAAACCCTTGTTTATATATATATATGTGTGTGTGTGTGTATGTGTGTGTGTGTAAACCCACGTTCAACCCGGACTATTTTTTTAATGGTATCCGCTATTGCATTTTCCATCCTCGTTGAGATATCCCTCCCCTGTGGGACAGTCCAAAAGGTGTGAGCTTCAAGCCACAAAAGTATCCCAGGTTGGACAACGTTATGTTGAACCGTCATCATATCGGTTCGTCCAGCACTATATCCCAAGAATCATAATAGTTTATGTCACTGGCGGAAAGCAATGGTTACCCTCTGGTGAACTAACATAGCAATGGAAAATGGCCATTTATAGTGGATTTTCCCATTAAAAATGGTGATTTTCCATTGCTATGTTAGTTCACCAGAGGGTAGAAAAAACCGACATGTTTGCTGGTCAAGCAGCAGTTCGCCCCATTCTTGCTAGTCCAGTCGTCACCATCGCCAGGTCATTTTGTCGGGATACGTATATGTGGTGCGGCGACCTGTGGGGGAAGCCTATTGGTGTGCCAAAGGCATACAAGCGACTTGGCCCTACAACCGGTCTCCACAAGACCTTGGAAATCACACGGGAAAGCAAGATGGGTGTGGAACGTACTGTATCATTTTTGTAGAATCCCCTGTCGGCGGCAACAAAAACATTATTTGCCCACCAAAAAGTTGTCAAACCATCCACCGAAAAAGGGCGTTCTCAAACCACGGAGTCCCAGTGCAACTTTCGTTGTTTTACAAGCAAATTTGTTTGACCCACCAAATTAAAGGGAACAATACCTTAGTCCACCAAGCAAAGAGCATGGAATGCCACTCCCCACCTTTTGCCCTTTGTCAGGCTTAGACCAATGGTTTCCCAAAATAATATCTACTATTTTACTACCAGCAAAAGATTGATTTCTCCAGCCTGAAATTTCAAGAACTTGGAGTGTACCATATTGGTTCTTTTGAAAATAGAGTGCTCGCAAACAGAGCCCAAATTTGGTGGTTCATCACTTTTGTTTCGCATTGATAAGATTCCCAAAATAGGGGCTAAGTCCCCATTTCCTCAGATACCCATATATCATAGTGTTGATACTAGCGGGCGCATGGGTATGTATTTATATATATATGTGTGTGTGTGTGCCAGAACACAATAACATATTCACTAACTATATCCTTTAAGTATATCCCCATTACAATTGCATTGACCCCAATTGTTCAAGTTGGTGCCCCCTACTGTTATGTAAGCCAGTTCTGAACCAACTTCGCGAGCGACCTGGGGCACCATAATGTATATCCATCACCAACAATCCGGTTGATTTTTCCAATGATATCCCATTTGCATCCCCATTGTATCCCTATGTTCCATCATGTTCCCGGACTAAATTGTGATTTTACAGTACTACTTTTGTTCCCCAAAAAATAGTAGGTCACAGCAACATAAAATAATTACATATATATATATATACATATATAAATAACAATTACATAGAATAATTACATATATTTTTTTCCCATAGATTTCCCATATTTTTCCCATCCAAACACGGGGTTTTCAGGATTACCTCCTGGTTTCCACGCCCCGCCTTGGTGGTGCCACTGGCAGCTGCACGGGCGCCATGGGGCTGGACCGGCAACACTGTGTGCCCGGCTTCGAGGAGCGAAAAGTGAGCGAAACGTTGGGAAAAATGGTGGATCTCAATGATTTTAGAGGGAAAAACGATGGATTTTCAATGATTTTCATGAATGTTCCATGGATTTTAGGGGGGAAAACGGATGGAAAAACCCATGAGATGTGAAGAAACATGCTGGAAATGTCCCTGCAAAATGACGGATGAATATGGAATGATAAATATGCGAATGAGTACACCATTCTGGGTTGAGCAACTGGATGGGTGCTTTGTGGTTAGCCCTATGAATGGGGATACCGGACAAATCCGGACAATTTGCTAAGAAAAGTGCAGGGTATCGAAGATTGGCCGTGGATCATGGATGAAGAGAGGGAGATTTGTATGTGTGTGTGTGTTTTTTAATGTTACCCTCTGGTAATTTAACGTAGCTATGGAAAATCACCATTTTCCATGGGAAAATCCACTATAAATCACCATTTTCAATAGCTATGTTAAATTACCAAAGGGTAGTACTGGTTGAACCAGCAAGCATTTACGGATGTCACGCACAAGACAAAACATGTTAAACAGAATAGAAAAGACACTCGCCTTTTAAAGTTGGATTTAAATGGATTTAAGTTGATTAGCTGGCATTCATGCATGGGGACCTTAAAGTCTTTTATTTTGGTACACCTGGTATGGACTGAGAAGTTTTTTATTGGTACATCAAAACCATAGAAGATTCGGTGTGGTTGGCAACCAAGATGGAGAGTGCATATATATATATATTGTACTAAATAAATTTTCCTGGAACTTACGAACTTCCTTGAAACTTTGATTGCTCACATTCAATGTTCAAGAGGGCAAACTCACCACCAACGCGTGTGAGTGTGCTGTTGCAGGACGTTCAGACGTTTGACGATATTTGGGATTGGCTGAACTATACCGTCCCGGAGATCTTTTGGGTCGACGAGCCAACGAGCCCCATACTGCACACCTACAACCAGCTCCTGGGTTATTTCTCCATTCGAGTTCAGAACTGTGGCGGCAGATGTTGACGACCCTGTTTTGTTTGCGTCCTTTTCCTTGGGGGAAATTTGATTTAAAAGCGAGGACCTTGAGCTTGGCATGATAAATCTCCCTCGCATTTGATTTTTCATCGGCGTGTTGTCGATGCCTCTATGCATCACTTTTGTGAAAAAAAACATATTGCTCAGGAACGTGAAGGAACCAACAACGCCTACAGAGTTTTGTGTGCCTTGCCTGTGCAGAGATCAGTTCGATGGTAGTCAAACCCAGTGAAGGAAAACCATGGGAAATTGCAACTTACATCACTGGATATCCATGGGAATATCCATTATCATTATGGGTTATAACTTATATAATGGGTAACCATGGGAATATCCATGGGAATATCCATTATATATCATTATATAACCTTCACCCTGAGGCCGAACTTTGAGATGGCGAGAGATGGATGTACATGATAAAATGGTAGGACCGGAATAACCCCCGCTAGAGGTAAACGAGGTCAACAAGGTTTTTGGAGGCATCTCCTGGACTCCCCGGAGTAATTAATGAACTTCACATCATTGCCAAAAAGGAAAAATAACATGAACAGAGATTGGAACAAAGCAAAACAAAACAAAAAAGCACATAGGACTGAGGTGGACTTTATTAATTGACGGGGGGGGCGCCCACTTTTAGCTGGCGGGAGGGACACCACTCATGGGGGCATGTGTGAGCTTCCAAAACTATCATGTTTTATGCAAAATGTACTAAGAATTTGATCATTTCGTGAATGATGTTTTCTTGAACCGATATTGTTTCGGTTAAATGAACCATGAGGGATCAACCAAAAATCACCAATGAAAAGTAAAAGATATAAGGGAATAATTTGGAATAAGATTAGATTGATACCACCAAGAATCTGGGTGTTGAGGGGGGTGAACCATTATTGGGGGAAGGAAACAATCTCAGTATTGTCCAAAATCGGGGGAGAGCCGGGGTATGGTTTTTTTTGGGGATTATTAATTCCATTTTTTCAATATCTACAATACATATATACATGATATATATATATATATACTACATTTATTTATAGAAGACCTTTCCAGCAACAAACAATAAGGATTTCACGATACCGACCCTCATCGGATGGTCGGTCAGTGGCTTTTTTCAGTGACCCTACTGGGCTCGACCCAGCCAGTGGCGTGCGCACAGGCGAACAATGCGAAGTTGGTGGCTGACTTCAACGCACTGGCGGATGATGGCAACAATTTGTCCATTTCCTGCTTTCCGCGGGCCCTGAGCGACGCCAACCGAAGAACGGATGCCTACCCCGAAATCTCATCATATTGGCGGAGACTGGGCGCTGAAAATGGATGGGAAAGATGGAAAAAGGACATATAATATTGAGTTGTTGGTTTAAAAGATGCCTCATGTTTCATCCTATGTGGAAAGATGATCTTAAGGGATTCTTGGTTGGATGAGTTGAAAAAAATTATCCAGCTGGAATGTCATGCTTTGTAAGGTACTGTGTGTTAGCTCATTTCAGCCTTTGAATGGTTTCTTCTCAAATTCACACTGATGGAATGGATAAATGGCCCAGTTCCTAATTACTCCGGGTAAGTTAGAATCATAAATAGTAAGTCCATGTCAGTCCCCTGATTGGGAATATATGGGGATATTCCATTTCAAGTATGAATATCTATGAATATAGCCCTAGTTTCACAAGTAAGCCCCGAAAGGTGATTTTCATTGGATTATCCATCATTATCATCATTAATATGTACATTCCATAAAACATCCAATATTTGATGAGTATGATGATGATGGAGAATCCAATTATTAATCATATATATATATATATCCCATACATCCATCTCATATATCCTATATTTTTTCAAGTAGAACTGTTACCCCCAGCTGCTTCCGCAGCCAGGAATCAGACCATGCAATCGCAGGGCGACTCCCTGGCAGTGGTCCGAGGTCTTTCTGACCCCGGGCTCTTCAGGCGCGGGATCTTAACGGATGCCATGGGATGCCCATGGGCCCATGGCCGTGGCATCAATGTGGGGGAAGCGTTGGAAGACGCGGTAAGAAAATACCTGAATATAAACAGGAACTGGTGGGAATTGTGTAAAACTCCCAGAAGAATTGGATATAATATAAAAAGATATGCTGAGAGAATAATCGGAATTAACTAAATGGATATTGGATGTTTCCCTTATAATAGGGCGACCCCCAGTTCTCATTTGAATTGCTGGTCACCATGACACTTATATAAATTGGCCAACGAACGGAGCCACAATTTTTACTTCATCAAACTACCATGGTTAGATATGGTTAGCATTATCAACCATGAACCACTATTAACCATTAATAACTATTCATATCCATTATTAGCCATCAATAACCATTAATCACTATTAACCATCAATCACCATTCCTAACCATTACCAACCATTAATTAGCCATAATTAGCCACTATCAACCATGACTATTCACCATGGCCTTACAGCCACCGAAAGACAATGTGCCAGGTCAAAGGAGTTGAATCGCGCCCTTTGGCCATCAAATGATGCGGAAAATCGGGGGGGATTTGGAGCTTGGTTTGATATGTTTGACAAATATGTATATATGTTTTATATATTTTTTTTGCTCGGCCTTTTAGGTCTAGCCTGTGGCGCTCATGCAAAGAACAGACGACCTCCTTAGATCGGCTGGTAATCTGGCTGGATCTTTCGGTCGCGATCCACGCAGGCCGAGATCGCAGCCAGCTGCTGTGCAAGTGCTGGCACTTCCGTGGAACTGTCGGAAGGCTGGCACTGGGAGAAGCGGGCTTCAATTTGAAGCCCAAAAGCTTCTGCGAAACAAAAATTCATGCCAGCCGGGTATTCCTTGGCGGCTGACGTCTTGAAGCTTCCATCAGCATTGCGTCCAATCAATGGCATCGTCGGATTAACCAGATGATGTTGCTCATGAGCCGCGAAGGCACGCGGGATGGCAGCATTTGCGAAAAGCAGCGTGGTCGGCTTGACGCCTTTGGCGCCGTGTTTCCATTGCTGAAACGTATATTGCCGAAACGGCATTCCAGGGCCGCATAGAAGCTTGAGAAGAGCAGTTCGCCAAATCGACGGGCGTTCGATCTGAAGCGGCGGCGCAGGGTGTTCCAGAGCCACAGCGCCACCTCCGCATGCAACGCAGATGCATAGGAGAAGACCTTTGAGAAGGAGGTTGTTGCCGACCTGGATTTGAAGCAACTCTCTCAGGCTGAGCTGCATCAACCCCCAGCACGAATCAGGTGCTCCCCTCAATGGTCTCGGCCCCTTCATGGGCATGCCTTTGTCATCCAGCTGATCTTCAAATCGGGCACCGCTCCAGGTTTCACACGGGGGCCCCAGCAATAGGGCCAATAATTGGCCAGCTCGTGCCGTCGTGAGCAAAAATTGCCAGAGGTGCACGTCATGAATGTTCATCGAATCATCAATGGCTGTGTCTATGGAGATCACCAGCACTGATTGCGAGAACCGCTGCAAGCCTGTGTCCAGGAACTTCTGCATGTAGTAGTGAAAATCTGCATCCCGGCGCCTACCGGAATAAAGATGCACCACATAGAAGGGTCCTGTGCTCATTTGCCGCATAACTTTCGGTGTCTGCAGGATGACCCAATGTCGCCGTTCTGCTTCTTCACTTGGCATGACCGCATAGCGTGAGGAGATCGGATGACTCCTCGAATGCGGGATGGAGCGCTGTTGTTGCGCTCGGTTGGGTTTGGGTTCTCCCTGTTCAAGTCGGTCCCAGCACTGTTGCAGGAATCGCTTTCGCATGCGCAGGTGCCAAATGTGGATATCATCCAACATCGACATATGGCTGCGTTCCAACACTTCGTAGAGCTCGGGGTCGATGCTCGAATGTAAGTCTTGGAAGTCAGTCTCAATCCACGCAATAAAATTCTCGCAGCCTGAAATTCTGGGATACCGAAGTGGAAGAGGAGATTGAAGAAATCATTATGGAAGGCTTCTTCTGTAGGGTGGTGAGTCCATTGCTGTAAACACTCTGCAAACTGCTCAAAGCATGTACGGACCAACGGTGTGGCTAGGTCAGGCTCCCACCACGCAAAATCAGAGTTTCCTTCAGCTTGCAAAGAGATGAGTGCTTGTCGAATCCTTTGGCGCTCACGGTGGTGTGATGTGGGCCGCAAAGGTCCAGCATGTCTCCGAACAGCAGGTAGGCGGCAAACACCGACAAGATGTTCTGGCAAGTGAATGGTGACAGGTTCATCAGGTCTTTTGACTTGATAGATTCGGTCCCAGCACATGTTCGGCCGATAACGCAAATGTTGTGTTACCCGGAAAGTGGTGTGAAAGTCCTTGAGGCAGCCACTGCAAATCGTGGATTGGACATAGTAGCGCTCTTCGGCAATCACGCCATGAACACGGAATTCATGAAGTGCACACTGATGATGGGTCGCAAAGCCAGCCTGACAATGAGGGCATGTGTAAGGCTTGTGGTCGCTTTCATCTGGGAGATCGCTCAAGAGCTGCATGCCAGCAGAGCGCAGCTCATCCAAAATGGCAGCGTGCTGAGTGTCTGTTTCCCAAGCGATCTGCTCTTGCACAAGGTGCTTGGCACAAGCTCTGCGAATCCAAGCTTTCCAGGGTCGGCAATTGCGAAGTGCTTCCCATACTTCGACCCAAGAAGGTCTGTCATGAGGTAGGTCAAAGGGTAGCTGCCGAATAGTACTGAGCCATACAAGGTCTTCCCGCATCTCAAAAAGCCAGCCTCGCCCAGTTTGCAATTCACGGTAGAGCAAACTTTTGTGAAAGACCGCGCCGTGCTGTGCTATGTGTTGCAGGAAGGTCAGCTTGTGACGAGCCCAAAACTGTCGAAAGGTTGGGAGCCGTAGGGCTTGCCGAAAGGACTCATCAGTCACATGATCAGGTTTCCAGAAGTTCCAGAAGCCAACATCATGAATCTGCCTATAATAGGCCATGAGCGTGGCTTCAAGCTTCTTCACCAGGGCATTGGGGACCTCCGTCCAAATAGCACATCCATAAAGCAATCTCGATAGAATGAGACTGTGGAACAGCTGCATCCTGGCCGCACCTGGGAGTCGCTTGTTGAGAAAGAGCGGCTTTTTCATCTCTTCGAATGCTTGTCGAGCTGAGCCAATTCGAGCCCTGATCTCCTTGCTAACGTCAACATTCATGGAGTATTGAGCCCCGAGGTGTTTGTAGGAGGGCACGACCCGGAGAGTCAGGATGTGGCTGGCCGTGTCAACGACGATGACCGGTTGCCTTTCTGTGTCGAAGATCTGCAATCTCAGTGCGTCAGATCCGGGCCCTCTAAAACAAAGGACTGCTTCCGTTTTTCCTTTGTCGAGGTTCAGTGTGAGTCCTCTTGCACGAAAAAGGTCATGGACTGTGGCTGTGACCTGTCGGACAAGGGGAACTAGTGCATCCGGTGTTGTTGTGGTGAGCGGGATGGCGACGTCGTCCATCCAAGCAATGGGGGGCACTGTGACTCCAAGTGCAGCGCTTCCTTCCACATAGCTTTCGTTGTCCAAGAGAGCCTCATGTAGTTCTTGAAGGAATTCAGACATCATGAGGTTGAAGGCAATGTCAGCCAAGGGGCTTCCCGGTCTGGAGCCACGGCGGGTGTGCGTACACTGTCCCGGGTGGGAATTGGTGGAGTCACGAAGCTGAAACCATGTCTGATGATGTATATCATGTAGGAATCGGCGTAGGCCAGGCGGGACATCGACAGGATTGATCGAACTGAGTTCCTCCAACTTTGCTGCCAAGGTCGGGATGTCAAAGTCATCCTGGTTGAATATGTCCTCGAGATCTCGGCTTGTCAGTCCCTCTGAGGTCAAGAAAACAAGCTCCCGAAGAAGGTGATGAAAAGCGGATCTGAGGTCCAGGAAGAGTGTGCAGGTCGATAGTTGCGCTGCTGTGCTAACGCTGCCATGGAGCTTGAGGATTTGGATGCCTGTGAGGGTCTGCTGTGAAGGGAGACCTCCTATCTGTCCCATTGTTCTTCTCGCCTGGAGGGTTGGGAGAAGCCTCTGACGCGTCCATGCATGTGTGACTTTTGCAAATGAATCGGCGAGCAGGATTCCCCGGTATGCCGAGGCATCATCTCTACTGCCTTTGTGTTTGAACAGCGCGCAAAGGTGACCACCCTTGTGTGGGAAGGGTTCGATGCCTGCTAAAAAGCTTTTGCAGATCAATGCATGTAGCTATGGAGCAATGGCAACTGAGCCTGCCCGACAGAGTGTGGATGGTACTCCATCTGGCCCGGGCGCCTTGTGCGGTCGTTGCTTTAGGCAGTGGTCTTCAATTTCGACAAGCGTGGGCAACTCTTCCAAGGCAATCAATTGCAACATCGGCCGGGCTCCAATTTCTTTGTTGTTGCGTTGAATGCATTGCTGTCGGAGGTGTTGCATCTCCTTTGAAAGTCCCGCCTCAAGCTCCTGAAAGTGATTGAGCAAACTTGACCCAAGATCACGCTGAATAGTGTGGCGCTTGCCCTTGTTCTTCGGTAGGATAGCACGAAAGTGCTTCCAAATGCCGGTCAAGCCTTCAATGGAGTGCGTGATGGTGGCTTGTTCCGCAAGTTGTTGATAATAGACCGAATCCTCTGCTTGTATAGCCTGGCGCGCTTTCTGTCCAGCCTGCTGATAAGACCGGGTAGTGTCGGCGACAGCCTGATCGTGCAGCCTGATCCATTGAGGTAGGTCATGTTCAAGGGCCTGGCAGAATGCAGTGACTACTCCCGGGCTTGTTGACATTGTAGCTCTCCAAGAAATGAAGCAAGCTTGCAATGTGGTATATCTCTTGGTTCTTGCCAGGTGTCTCAACTGCTTGAAGGTGAACTTCTTGCGCTCGACAAGCTCCCACGTTGCTTCAGTGATGTGGCTTTTGCGCTTCCAATGCTTGCGGGGCCTTGTAATTTGTTGTAAGGCCGCAGTGACATTCTGAGCTAAGTTCTCGGCAGCAACATGTGGATCCAGGCACCAAGGTGAGGGTGGGACGGAGGAATGTAATGTGTAGAGAACTTCCTCATTCTGCAACTGTTGGTGAAGGTGATGGGAATCCCACGTGTGCTTCAATGATGCCTGCCGTGGCTGCGAGGCTTGAACATCAAAAGTACATCTGCAAAGAACGGCAAAGTGGTCAGTACGGTGCACACTAAGGTCAATATCTTCTGCTACCCAAGACTTCAATGTCTCATACTGAAGCTCTTGCGGAATGGCAACGTAGTCGATTCTGGTACCGTGTTTGCCATCAGGAGAGCAAAAGGAGTGATGAGCAGATCCTGGGTGCGAATCAGCAAAAGTTGCAGGGAGTTTCAGATCATGCTTCAATAGCCAATGATGAAAAACCTCACCAGCTTGATTTTCCTGCACCGACGCAAGATCCCCAATGGCCGCTGTGGGGCACTCTCCGACATGAGCATTTGCATCACCACAGTAGAAGATAGGCCATCCGGAAGCTTTGCGATGTAGCTCTGTTGTGATAGTACTCCAGTGGGACTGTGCTTCATGTCGTGGTCGA